ATGATTTCAAGCACCACCCTCCTTTTAAAGCTTCCAGTCTGTTATTCTAACTCAATCAGCATGACAGAGTGATCTCCAGCCTTGTCCTCGTCAACACTCTCACCTGTGTTAACGAGAGAATCACTGACATGATGTCAGCTGGTCCTTTTGTGGCAGGGCTGAAATGCAGTGGAAATGTTTTTTTGGGATTAAGTTCATTTTCATGGCAAAGAGGGACTTTGCAATTAATTGCAATTCATCTGATCACTCTTCATGACATTCTGGAGTATATGCAAATTGCCAAATTAATATTTGTGTCATTCTCAAAACTTTTAACCACAACTGTACAAGCATTTCTTGGAACAATGTCGATTTTCAAAAACAGAACTCTGTGGCCTTTTGCAAAACAGAAAATGCATTTGTTTTATGTGCTGTAGTTGCCTTCTAAAAACATTCATCAAACCTATAAAATGTTGTCAAAATTGCAAATAACTTCATCAAAAGAACACGACTGGGAGGGGCTATTGGTGGACAAATCGATGGCGTATATTGCGCTGCTGAGAGCTGAGTGAACCAAATCACACTGACCATCTTTCTTTGGCCAAATACCGAACGGACTGTCATGCAGGAATTCATTCTTCCCTGCGTCTTCTTTGACAGGGAAGTTAAGTCGCGAGTTCAAGTGGTGAGTTTTTTTTATTGTATATTAAATAGCCAAGTCGTATGGTTTATACGCAAATATTTATGCATGACAGTCCGTTCTGTCTTTGGCCAAAGAAAATTGGTCTGTGTGATTCGGTTCACTCGGCTCTTTACGTCATTGATTTGTCCACCGGGATTATTCGTATAGCTTCTCCCAACACGACTGCCTGCAAAAAGATAAACACAACAGTGCATTCCTCTTGAGTCAAGCTGACACAACAGAAAGTTAGTCTCTCTTTAAAAAAATCCCATTAAAGCAACATATTTTCTTTGCAGTCACTAAATCAGGATGATCAAAACTGGAAGTACAGTTGAGGAACACAACTGATAATAATGTATAGACCACACCAAAGCAAAGCTCTGTAATGGATGGTCACAATGTTGTAAATTACTACATAGGACTAACCCAAAGTTGCATTAGAGTAACTCAACTTCATTCTCTGCATGTTCGCAATGTTGTAAAAAATCCTAAAATTACAGTGTCCCCATTGCCTAAATATTTCCCTATATTGTATATGAAATAGCAGTAATGGAGTGATTTAGAATTTTCTGCACTAGTATTACAGTTTTTGCCTATTGCTTACACACTTTTTGCAGAATTTGGCTCATTATGTCAAAACTCAACACACAAGCCAATCAGACATAGCACTTGGAGATTAACAACTCACATATATGCCAAAATGAAACACTGTATTTGGCCAAAGAAAGATGGTCAGTGTGATTTGGTTCACTCAGCTCTCAGCAGTGCAATATACACCATCGATTTGTCCACCAGTAGTGTCCGTATAGCCTCTCCCAGTCGTGTTCTTTTGATGAAGTTATTTGCAATTTTGACAACATTTTATAGGTTTGATGAATGTTTTTAGAAGGCAACTACAGCACATAAAACAAATGCATTTTCTGTTTTACAAAAGGCCACAGAGTTCTGTTTTTGAAAATCGACTTGTGTGCCGAATCCACCCTTGGATTGATCCCACCTCAATGTCTCCACATGCCTCTTCCATTGCTTGCAGAAGAGTCATGCGGGCATGTGGTTGCCGATCATATACTTTCCACCGCCACGCTGAAAATAATTCCTAGATTGCATTTAGAAAGGGGCTGTAAGGGGGCAGGTATAAAACTGTGAAATTATTATGGTTGTTGAACCAATCTCGGACCAGAGCAGCCCGGTGGAAACTAACATTATCCCAGATGACAACAAACCTGGGCTGCTGTGGTCTGTCCTGCACAACTGCATGTAGTGCATCTAGAAATGCAATGATCTGTCCTGTATTGTAGGGACCTAGAGTGGCATGATTATGCAGGACTCCTTGGACACTAATTGCAGCACACAAGGTGATATTTCCCCCACGCTGCCCAGGGACATTTACAACAGCCCTTTGTCCAACTATGTTACGGCCCCGACGCCTGGTTTTGGCCAGATTGAAGCCTGCCTCATCCACGTAGATGAACTCATGCGGCAGTTCGGCGGCATCAAACTCCAGAACTGTCTGTAACAGAAAATATTGAATAGTGTTACTGAAAACACATACAGTAACTACAATGTCTATATTTTCACACAAGTAGGGGCTGGGTTGGGTGAGTATAGACAAAAACTACAAGCTACAGGCAGGGCAGGTGGCAGCATAAACCCTCATTCCCACATCACAATATATAGTATGTAAAGTAAAGTGACACATACCTGCACATAATCATGGCGCAGATCCTTGACCCTGACACTGTTCCTCTCAAATGGCACCCTGTACAGCTGCTTCATTCTAAAGTTATGTTTCTGTAGGATGCGACTTAGTGTAGAAATGCTGACCCTGTTGATATTGTTGAATTCATTTCCATTTGCAACGAAGTCGGATTGCATTATTTTCTCGCACCATTTCAATGATGGCAAGCTCTTGTTGTTGAGTGAAGAGCCGTTCCCTTCCACCTTCAGGAGGTCGTCCAACCATTCTGTAGAAAATGCCACCACAAGATGTCATTGGTTAGGTTATTTTTCACATACTGTACTTTCAAACTGTACACAGTACTGCAACATCACAATGGTATTCCTTTACATATACAGTACTTCACAGCACTACCCATTTTTGTATAGTATAGTTAGTACAGTAATACTGTAGTATGATACAGAATCATGTGACACATACAGTAGGTACAGTCTGTAGTAGAAACTTGAAGATATACCTGTTCTCCAGTCGGAATGTCCTTATCATCAATGCTACTGTGTAGCGACTGAGGTTAGGGTGGACTCTTTGCCCAGCCTCCCTCATGGACAGGCCATGATTTATCACATGGTCCACCAGAGTAGCCCTGATGTCATCTGATATACGTCTCCGCACTGGTCCACGTCCTCTTCCACATCCGACTCCTCTCTCTCTTTGTCCTCCTCTTACTCTGACTCTCATTGCCTCCATGCTTGCAAAGTTCTAAAAATGGCTTACCTGAGGCCTATTTGTAGTGCTAAGGCTCAGACTGATTGGTGTTCTGTTTTCTGTGTAAGTGTTTTCAGGTGTGTATGTAAGTGCATACAATTGCCAGATGAGTTTTGCATTTTGAACAGAGTGTTTTCCCAATGATAACAGGTGATTTCGTTTTTGAACAAAGTGTCTAATGTAAGAAAACGTGTGTAGTGTTTCGCAATAAGTGTGTAACAGAATTGCAAACAAAGTGCAACGTTTACATTGTGTTTAAGCTATGGTTACACTGTGTTTAAGGTATGCTACAAGAAGTTTAGGTATTGAGGCTTTGGTCTAAGCATTCGGTTTTAGTGTATAAGCAATGGGCAAAAACTGTAACTGATTGCTGAAAACAGTGAACACATATGCACACATTTCTCTTCTGATGAAAATGTGTTCATATTCTACGAACAAAACACTTAACAGTGAATTTTGTATCCACTGATGCCATTTGTATTTATAATTTTGCAAAAGGACCTCTAAGATATGCAATCCAGATACAAAGGCAAGAAAGTAATCAGAAGTTTGGAAAATGTATTTGGATACATTTGGCCACAGTAAAAAAAAGAATATTGTATGTGATTGAGAAACAGGTAGTTATGGTACTACAAACCAAATACTGTGAGGTAGTTAGGCCTACTGTATATGCTGTGACTAGACTTGGCTGACAAAGCCCTGCTATGTAAAACATGATGAGGCCTCTGAAAAAGCAACATGGAATACAGTAATATTGAAAGTAATTCCCAAAAAAACAGAGATGATATGTTCTAAGTGTGAAAGTGACTGAAGTAGAGTAAACACAATCACTGTAAAAAGTAAGGACTGAAATGACTGTTCAATTAAATTTCCTTTTCATGTAAGGCCATATGTTTTTATATACTGTACATCACATTTAATATTTTCCCTATAAAACAGCTGCCAATATAAAAAAATACAATATGATCTAGTTTATAACCCATGGAAAACCAAACTACTGGTCGGTGAACTATTTAATATATACTTATGGACTGATTGTGAGGTTAACAATTATGCAAAGGGTTTTACATGTTGGTGGTAAAGATATACATTATGGAAGTAATTGTTATTGACCGTGAAAAAATGATTTAATTTTGATTGACATACTTTACACCATAGATTTTTGTGTCTTATGGAGAGAGTTGTGTCTACTGTTTTGTAAAAAGTGTTTTGTGATAGAGAGTTCTGTATACTGTTTTGTAAAAAGTGGTTTGTGATAGAGCGTTGTGTCTACTGTTTTGTAAAAAGTGTTTTGTGATAGAGAGTTGTGTATACTGTTATGCAAAAAAGTGTTTATCATTATTGTATTGGCCATGTGGATCCCAGTTTCACTCACATGGATCCCAGTTTCCTTCACAGTGTTCAAGCAATCTAGAAAAACTGCAAGTGCCGCCCACCACATGAGTTACTTACAACTACATTGTAACTTGGGTATCTTGAGGCCCAATAACAAGAAATCATCCCAGAGCATAGTTAGTGTGAGCTAATGCTAGGCAAAAATGATCTCCTCACAAATGTTCTACGGTCTGAAACCTTTGGAAATCTTGACCTCAATCTTATCTATGTGACAAAAGTCACACTTTTAAGTACAGTGGAGCAGCTTTAAAGGTCAGCATGTCTTGCAGCTGACAATTAGAAACAGAAAGGAGTAAAAGGAATGGGACTGAAAATAGCCTTTTCATTCTCTCAGGTAGAAACTGTCATCTTTAAACGGTCTGAACTATTCAGCAGTTTCTACAGAAGGCCTTTGACTTTTATCATGACTTTCACCTCATATATTGAACACAGAACCAATCGAGTGTACTCTCATCCTGCTCGTATTTGAAGAAGGGCTTTTTATTGGATATCTTTTTCTAGAATTCTAACATTTTCCTTACTGCTCATGAATTACATTCCTTATGGACAGCGCTCAGCCGGTGACATCATGATCCGTAACATTCAGCTGAGGCATGCTGGGAAGTATACCTGTGCTGTCCAGACCAAGGTGGACAGTGTCTCCATCGCCACCGATGTGGTAGTTAGAGGTATGGCTATGCTGGAGCACCAGTAGCACAAAATGTCTCGTTGATCTGTTTTAGGATCCAGTCAATATTTTGTTTTTGAATTTGAATTGTGAAATGCCACTTTTGCCACTAATGTAGCAAATGGAAGGTTTAGAATTAAACCTGGAACCTTGGGTTCTCCTACTCTCCAATAATCATCCCATACTGTTTAGACCTCTTCGTAAGCTTGTTTTTGAATCATGACTGCAACATTTTAATTAATAAATAAATAAATAAATAATTAAAATGTATGTGTAGAATATACAGTACTTTATATCTCATTTTGATCAACTAAGTTGATGCTGTGATTACGTTCTTTCCAGGAGCTCCAGGCCCACCTGTGGACTTCCAGGTGACAGAGATGACAGACAGCACAGCGTCTCTGTCCTGGGGACCAGGTCCTGACAACCACAGCCCAGTCCTCACCCACAACATCCAGGCCCGCACAACTTTTTCCCTGGGCTGGCAGGGAGTCATCACAGGTGTGTGTGTACGCGAGTGCATCTTTGTGCCTATCTTTATCTATCACGCATACTGTATAGTAAATTGAAAAATGCACTCACAACATAATCAAGATTCAAGATACATCATCACAATTAGCACACAAAGTTATAGACTGTATTTGTATAGCACTAGAAGAGCCTGCAACATGCTAATTAAAGGCTATTTGTTGTCCGGGTTAGTTCCTGAACTTCTTGGGGGCAAACAGCTGACAGCCACTGTCATTGACCTCAGTCCGTGGGTGGAGTATGAGTTCAGAGTGCTGGCAACCAACGCCATCGGAACAGGAGAGCCCAGCAAACCTTCCAAAAAAGCCCGGACCAAAGACATGCGTATGTATCTGCTCCACATAGCTCCCAACACAACGATGAATACTGAATACTGTACTATAATTCTTGCCATTTTATTCAATGAATTGTTTGTTTACATTCAAGTTGTGATGCAATATTATTAATGCAATATTATAGGAAAGTGCAAGAGGTACAGTACAAGCATATTTCCACTGGGATGTTGATGATTGATGATGAGGAGGATATTTTGTGTGAAAACTGTTGGGTGACCCCAACAATGAACAGCTTTAATTGACAGATGTTTTGCCATGAAGATACTAGGAGGCATGCAGACATTGAAGTTTCTCTATGAAAACAAACACCCTTGATTTTGCAGCTCCCAAGATCACACCATCCAGAGTGAACGGAGGTGGTGGTGGTCGCTCAGAGCTTGTCATCACTTGGGAGGTAAAGTGAACAGTTCCCAACACCTCAAAATACCAGTGGTATACCACTACTAATAAAGATGATCAGCTTGATTGGTAAAGTCATACAGATTCAGCACAAAGTGCACCAAATGATATGTTGAAATAAATTATGAATCAAACATAACCCATTCTCTGACTGCAAGTGTTTTTCAGAGCATGCAGGTTGTGCCTATAGGACTTTTTACACTACTGGGCCAATCCAAGCTATATTGAGCTGGCCTGGTTACACATTCACCAAAGTTGCTAGAACCATGCTGAAAAGGACAATGTGAAAATGTTTTATACGAGCCAGCAAAGTACAGTTTCGGTCTGCCTGGTAGTATTAGAAGTTACATGTGTATTATGTGAATGCACTGATGTACGTTTGTGTTTTCACCTCTTTCTGCAGCCTGTCCCTGAAGAGCTACAGAATGGCCCAGGATTTGGCTATGTGGTAGCCTTCCGACCTCAGGGGGCTCAGGGCTGGATGCAGGCTGCAGTCACCTCCCCCGACGCCTCCAGATACATCTTCAAGAACGAGAGCATCGCTCCCTTCTCTCCTTTTCATGTGAAAGTGGGCGTGTACAATAACAAAGGGGAGGGACCCTTTGGGCCGGTGACCACCATCTACTCTGCAGAGGAAGGTACAGTACACTGCCAGACCCTGGTATTTGTTTAGGGAATGAATTAAGTGAAAATGTAGTTTTTTTTTACGTTATTGAGATGTTCTATATAACTCTAGAATTCTGAAATCCATCAATACCTCTACAGGTTTCAACACTAATAGGATGCCATTGTTTTAAGTTTAAGTGATGCCAGACCCAGCTGAGTACACCTTTTAATTTCAGATGCTATATTTACAGTGGCTATAGAAAGTCTACAACCCCCTTGGATTTCTTCACATTTTATTTTGTTACAAAGTGGGATTAAAATTGATTTAATTGTAATTTGTTTGTCAACTATCTGCACAAAATACTCGGTAATGTCAAAGTGGAAGACAAATTCTAATTATTTTTTAATATTAATGAAAAATAATACACTAATATACCTTGATTAGATAAGTATTCATCCCCCTGAGTCAATACATGCTAGAAACACCTTTGGCAGTGATTACAGCTGTGAGTCTTTTTCGGTAAGTTTCATAAGAGCTTTGCACACCTGTGATGCGCAATATTTGCCCATTATTCTTTTTAGAATTCTTCAAGCTCCGCCAAGGTGTTTGGGATCATGGCTAGACAGCAATTTTCAAGTCTTGCCATAGATTTTCAAGCATATTTAAGTCAAAACTGTCTTTTTGGTAAGCAACTCCAGTGTAGATTTGGCTTTGTGTTATTGTCCTGCTGAAAGGTGAATTCCTCTCCCAGTGTCTGGTGTAAAGCAGACTGAAGCAGGTTATCCTCTAGGATATTTTCATTTTGCCTATACCATTTCTTTTCATCCTGAAAAACTCCCCAGTTTAATACATCACCCACAGCATAATTATTAACTTGACCATACTTAAAAATATATTTGATGTCTAATTTGTTATTGTTAACCATCTACCAATCACTGCCCTTCTTTATGAGGCTTTCAAAAAGCTCACTGGTCTTTGTAGTTGAATCTGTGCTTGAAATTCAATACTTGACTGAGGGACCTTACATATGATGAATGTATGGGGACAGAGGAAGGGATAGTCATTCAAAAATCATGTCAACCCCTATTATTTCACACAGATGGAGTCCATATAACTTATTATGTGATTTGTTAAGCACAAAAATATATATTTTACTCCCCAATTTCGTGATATCCAATTGCGATCCAATTACGATCTTGTCTCATCACTGCAACTCCCCCAACTGGGAGAGGTGAAGGTCGAGTCATGCGTCCTCTGAAACATGACCCGCCAAGCCGCACTTCTTAACACCCGCTCGCTTAACCAGGAAGCCAGCCGCACCAACGTGTCGGAGGAAACACAGTTCAACTGACGACCTGAAGTCAGCTTACAGGCGCCCGGCCCGCCACAAGGAGTCACTAGAGCGCGATGAGCCAAGTAAAGTCCCCCCGGCCAAACCCTCCCCTAACCCGGACGACGCTGGGCCAATTGTGCGCTGCCCTATGGGACTCCCGGTCATGGCCGGTTGTGACACAGCCTGTAGTGACACCGCAACACTGCTATGCAGTGCCTTAGACTGCTGCACCATTTGGGAGGCCCCACATTTTACTTCTGAACTAATTTAGGCTTGCCTAAACAAAGGGGGTGAATACTTATACAACAACTTTATTTTAATTTGTAAAAATGTGTAGAATCTTCACTTCACTTTGACATTATGAAGTATTTTGTGTAGATCAATTACAAAATATATTTCAATCCTACTTTGTAACGGCAAAAAAAAAAAAAGTTCAAGGGGGTGTAGACTTTCTATATGCACTGTATTTCTTATTGTCAGCTATCAGTAGTTACACATTCACTGTGTGTGTGTGTGTGTGTGTGTGTGTGTGTGTGCGCGTGTGCATGCATGTGACCCTAGAGCCCAGCAGAGCCCCAGGTAGGGTGCGGGCCAGGAGTGTGTCGGCATCGGAGATGGAGGCCACCTGGAAGGCCCTGCCCTGGAGCAACAACAGGAGACGCATCCTGGGCTACGAGGTCAGAGCCCAAACACACTGGACATCATAGACATAAAATTGAAAGATTGACACCTCTTCAGTATTTCTCTTCGTACAAGATCAATGGACTATCCATTATTAGCCCTCATTGAATTGTTACATTTATGTTGATTAAATCAACACCCTATCCTGTCTGAACAACTATTAATAATAATAATAATATGCCATTTAGCAGACGCTTTTATCCAAAGCGACTTACAGTCATGCGTGCATACATTTTTTGTGTATGGTATTAATTAGCGTACAGCCACACTGAGACGCATGAACATGGATGAAATCGTATATGACGTACATCATTGTCCGTTTTTGTCCGTCATTAGTACAACTCAGGTCAACTATTTTCTCAAAGGTTTTTTTATTTGGAATTTTGAATGATTATACAGATAATACAGACAGAACAGGTAGAGGGCAAAGCATACACGGATCCCCTACCAGATGAAACCCACCCCAACCCCTCATGCTCCAACAGAGCCCCACCCCAAAACCAGAGTTAAAGCTGGCATGATATATAATTGGAGTAATATAATCAAATAACAAACAAAACAAAGATATAATCAAACAAAAAGTAAAGAAGAGTAAAAATAGTGATACAAATTCTAATTTGGGTTGGTTTATGGAGTTGTGAAATTAGCTGGGTCCATGTCTTCTACAAAGGATAGGAAAGGTTGCCAGATATTATAAAATGTAATAGCAGATCCCCTAATGGAGTAGCGCATTTTCTCTAGCTTGAGATGTTGCGTAACTTCCTTTATCCAATGGCTAAAAGTAGAAGGAAACCGATCCTTCCACTTAAATAGTATAAGACGTCTAGCTAGAAGAGTCGTAAATGCCAGCATGTTGCCCATAGCTGTTTAGAATTAATCCATAGATTAGGGCCTAATTTATTTATTTCAATTGACTGATTTCCTTATATGAACTGTAACTCAGTAAAATCATTGAAATTATTGCATATTGCGTTGATATTTTTGTTCAGTATATTTTAAATTGAATTACAGCATGTCTTAGACATATAGATGAAGAATGGATTCTCTGAAGCATACTCTGCCAAATTTCATCTGAAAGTTGTTCACCTAAATCCTTTTCCCATTGGTTCTTAAGAGAGTCCAGGTATTCCAGATTGTGCGAGTTTAATAACATATAGACCAAGCCTTTGATATAAGGATTAACTTTAAAAACAGAGTCTATAAGGGAAGTCGTTTTTTTTTTTTTCTTTGGCAGACAATCATCTCTGTTGTCATTCATCGGGCAACAGATGATTCCCATTGAAAAAGTATTGGTTCCATCCCAAATATTCGAACACAAAATCCTAATGTGACCACAGCCTTAGACAAGCATATGAATACTCTGACGTGAGAAACTATCCTGCCTTGATGGTTATATACTCTTAACTTCTACCCTGTACAGCCCGAGGAAGATGGGTTCTTCTCTAGGTTTCCTCCTACTGGGGAGTTTATGTGCTTTAAAAATACATTTGATTACATATCAGTGATGTTGACCTGTAGTGTTGACTGGCCCAATGGTGTGTTTTGAACTGTAGCTGAGGTACTGGGGTGAGAGGGAGAGACAGGAGACAGCCAGTGTGATCAGGACCATGGGTAACCGGACGTCTGTGGTGATCAGAGGCCTGGAGGGCGGCAGAACCTACTTTATCTCCCTCCGAGCCTACAACAGCGCCGGGGTGGGCCCTCACTGTGCCACAGTCAATGTCACCACCAAGAAACCACGTAAGTACAAAACCTACATTCAAGAATACCTGACTGCATCCACTCCATAGAGCCCACCCCCCCACCTCTCTCATGAAAAAAAAAAACTCTTGACCCTGACTCGCTGTGTTTGAATACTCTTTGGGCTGTCGTCTTGGGTACATTTCATTTGGATAGGCCATCTATAGATGCCCCAACAAACTATCAATAGACCATCAGCAACTATAGATGGACTGTCCAAATACAGTGTTCCCGTTTTATTTTCCTCCAGCCCCAAGCCAGGCACCGGTGAAGATCATGTGGAACACCTCAAACTCGAAGGTCATCCTCAAATGGGATCATGTCAGAGCTCTGGAGAACGAGTCCGAGGTCACTGGTTACAAAGTAAGGGAGTAAACACGTATTTAAAATTTCTGTGATGTTGAGCTTTTTTTCTTCTTATTTATTAGATGATCCATTATGTGCTAGGGTTATTCACCTACGTTGAGTTGTTCAGCACTTTTATTGGTTTACAGAGTACTCCTCTTCTTACAAGAATCAAAACAAACTTGGATGACTGAACAGACTGATTCTTATAAGCAAAGTAAATTATAAGCATAGCAGTGTTTCTGACCATGACGAGGTTGATTCTCGTAGTGATTCTTATACGGTATGTGCACTCTAGGCTATGTTGTGCAGATCCTCACTATATTTGTGTTGTCACATTTCTCCAGGTGATGTACACAAAGGACAGACACAGTCGTCCCAACGTGGTCGAAACCAACACCACTTCTCTGGAGCTGGCGCTACCGGTCAACGAGGACTATGTCATCCAGATCAAACCATTCAGCGAGGGAGGAGAGGGGAGTAGCAGTAGACAAATCACTATTCCCAGGATAGCAGGTGAGATATTCTGCCTGACACGGTTAGAGCGTTGGGCCAGTAACCAAAATATTGCTAGTTCGAATCCCCGTGCTGACAAGTTGAAAAAGATGTGCCCTTGAGCAAGGCACTTAACCCTAATTGCTCCAGGATCACCGTTGATAATGTCTGACCCTGGCCATGACCCCACTGCCCGAGGATGTCTCATGGGGAGTTGGGATATGCATAAAGCACATTTCCAATTCACAAATGCATATAATACACACTTGTACATGTGTGAAATAGGACAAATATAAGCACCCACCAAATTATAAAATTATTATGAGGGCCAACTGATTCAACTTGTTGTATGAGATCATGTAAATAATTGTAATTGAGATGACTGAAATAACATTAAGAACAGAACAGAATTGATTTAAGAGCAACATTATATCATCATACATGTGAAGCTTTAATTGGATTAAATGCAAACAAGTCCAATACAATGGGCCCTTCTGATGTCTAACCATTTTGATCCAAAATACAGTATAGCAGCGCCACCTCCTGATACATTTGAGCAGTAACAACATGGTGGAAAACTTTATTGCAGACTAGATGTGCATCATGACAACCTCAGTGCTATCACTCACCATGTGTTTGTGAGGATATTCTTAATTCAGTGTAGGGTTGGGGTCAATTCCACTTCAGTCAGTTCAGGAAGTAAACGGAAATTCAAATTCACATTTTCCAAAATGCATCTCTATGAGAAATTACATTACATTACAGCACGGGACACAGTGTTAATAACATGGTAAAAGTATGGGAACAAGTTGTTAGTCACCATGAAGACCTTATTTTGCCCAGTTAGCCCTTAATATCTGTGTAATTATAATCTTGTTTTAGGGTAATACTCCAAATATGTAATAGAGGGCTAACAATTCACAAACAGTATGGTAACAGGGATCTGTTTTTCAAAACTCCCTCTAACCTTTAACCCTTTAATTCCAGCGCTAGTTACATATTGCTCATTCATGGTGTGTAACCGTAAATTGTTACCATACTATTACCATGTTATTACCACTTTCTCCCGTGCTGTAATGCAAAGCGCTAGAGACGTTTTGGGAATTGGAATTTCAGTTTACCTCCTGAATTTAAATGGAATTTACCCGAACTCTGATTCAGTGTCTAGAATATAATTGTACTTCATTCTGAACAGCATATCCTGTAAGAAACTTGTTAGATTTTACTGGTTTTATTGCAGGTTCAATGGCCATTGGTGCAGCCCCCGAGTCATCAGCGTTATCCATGGTCAATATGCTAGCACTCTATTTCACAGCCAGGACGTTCCTATGACAAACAGCTCCTGGACCACACTGCTTTCCATGAGGAGACTGGACAAAGAGGCCATGTACCTTCTTCCTCTAACAGGTACCCCCTTTGTTGAAAATATATTTCCCCTCAACCTTTCATGGGAGATATTGTAAGTCCAGCTTGGAAACTGTTGTTACATAAGCAGCGTTGATAAACGCTGAAATTAAGTTGTTATCGCTATCTGTCTTTTTAAAATGTTTTCCGTAAATGGATAATCTCAAAAGCGTTTCTTTATGAAGACAAGGAGATACGATGCACAAGAAGCTGTGTACGTTTCAGGAACCCCTGGGAGAGCTTGGGTCCCAAAAAAGGAGACTGTTACTTTCTAACATCATTTTGATAAGGGTACAACTGGCGAGTTAAGATGCCACCGACTCTGGTCAGTGTGAAGGGAATTATCTCACACACGTGAAATGAAGCTACGTTCAAGAGACCCATACCTGCAGTGATGATTGTCATTCCCTGAATCATCAAGGACTGTATCTAGGACACCTACTGCACTGAAAAGGTTAGGAAGAGAGAACCTCTTGTTTCACTGGAGACCCCTGCAACTACCAGGGGGTCTTGACAAACCTCATCATGTTATGGCCTAGTTTGGGACCTATGTTCCTTTTCCTGGAGACTGCACTTACTCTTACATAACATAAAATATAATATTATGTGCCATTTAGTAGATGCTTTTATCGAAAGCGACTTACAGTCATGCGTGCATACATTTTACGGATGGGATGGTCCCAAGAATCGAACCCACTATCCTGCCGTTGCAAGCGCAATTCTCTACCAACTGAGCGACAGAGGACCACATATATCGTTATATATGGACTATTATATACAGTATAACTGATAACGTTTTGAGCCAACATGGTTCCCATCCACCCAGCCTCATAGTACTGGCAGCTGCAGGACAGTCAGCACCAAAATGGCTTCTGGTCTGAACTACAGTGTGGTGGAAAGCTGATAGATGGATGTCTTTTCCCTCTTTGCCTTTCCCTCCATTACAAGTGCATAAATAGCCACGCTAAGCTGTGTGAGCCAAATTCTTGTACACTGTATGTATGAAATCCTCAGGTCCCAAAATGAGCCTTATGTCTATTATTGTTGTTTTTATTGTTATTATTATTACCTTGTTACTATTATTTATGAATCACATTTGTGTATCCAGATATTGTTTATTAGAAATTATCCCAATTTTATTTATTGAGAACATGGTTCCTTTGGACCATTTTATGTTTTAGATCATGTTTGATCATTAGTGCTCAGATAAGCCTTTTTTCTTATGTCTTTCATGTCTTGCATTGTAAAAGAAGTGGCAGTGCTTATTGAGTTTCTGAACATTGTGCATATTCCTACAGTCAACTGCTGTTTGGCATGCAAGTGGTCAATGTAAGTGGCTTGGAATATTTTAATGGGTCAACCTGCTTTTAATAAACATAATGACATTTTGTTTGCTTCCTTTCTGAGGTGAAATGTGATCTGATCTAATGTATTATTATTTACCATAGCAATAGTGAGAATACAGATGGACACGTTCAAACAATTTGTTCTAATGTTGGATGTATGGCACTGTATAGGCCTACCATTTTGAAAAGTTAAATATGTACTCTTCAGAATATATATATTTGCTATATATTTGCCATGAAAAGACAGGTCTTGGCATTAGGGAGGTTATGTGAAATACAGTGCCATATTGTACAAATATGACGATGTAAAAACAATCAAACAAACAGTATACAAATTGTTCTGATATCATATGTTGAAATACGGATGCTACAACAAAAAAAGGGTGATTCATGGACAGCGAACAGAGGATCGCACTCTCGTCTTGCTCTTTTCAATTTGTTTATTAATGTATGGAATGCAAGTTCACTGTACAGCAAAGACACAGCACCAAGCAATGGGGAGCAGCACAGAGCAAACATGATGTGAACTGAGAAGAGGGGGACTATACAGGGGTCTGGGAGGGTTCCAAGGTCAGCCAGAGGTCATCCAATCAGGGTTCGGCACAGGGCGATGGTCTCGCCAACGCCTCTGATTAATCATGGCCGGTTTGATTACTTGTCCAAGTTGCCAGGGTACTTCAACATGTAGGATGTAGGATGAAGTTGCCCTTAGACACTGATCTAAGGTCATGATTAAGGTTAAGACTTGGGTAGGGTAAACTGATGCTAGATGCACCCAATTCAGACTGCACCGCAAACTATCTAGAGCTCATTGAAACTCTCTAGTGTACAGTAGTAACATTGCCACTTATCTGAAACCAATTTAATCCTCAGTATACTGTACAAAGGAATGCATGGCTGTTGACATTGGTTTCGCCACTCCTAACCCCCACATTGATTTTGCCACTGTCATTTGTAAAAGATATCAAACATAAATGCAAAAACGGAGCTCGGCTGTCCAATGCGATTCAACAGTTACACACCACACACCTGGTAACAGTTGAGTTATGTGTCCCAAAGCCAACTTTAACTTGTCATAAACCTGACATTGCACATTCAGTTCAACCTTTGCTTTTTCCTCTAAATGCATTAACTCTGTCTGTATAGCTTAGACTCAGTCAGAAATGACCAGTGTTGTAAGAGAGTACCTGACAAGTAATACTATGACAGGACATATACATTAGTCTTACCATATCATGTTTGTGACATAATTTTGTTGGCTTTCTGGCACATAGTTAATCTAAAGTATATCCTTGATTACAAAACTGTTGGAAGTAGTTCCTTCATACAAATACAAAAGTCTCACTACTACCAAACATTATCACAGCACACTTTTCATACAGTAGTAAACATAGCCCATGGTATCCCTCAAACACAAAATATAACCAGACCAAAACACACCAAAAGCAGATGAGGGATTGAGATTCCAGGTATCACTGGAACACTTTGCTTGAAGGAGGATAAATAAGGACTTATATTTATAATGCCATATAATCACTGCAAGAGGCCTGGTAAATGTCCATAAAAAACTTCAATCCATATAACATACAGTAAGTCATCCCTGATAAATGGCATAAACGCCACCAGGATAAAAATCATTAGCAATTGCTAATGTCATGATAGTTGTTGTTAAATGTGTATGTAGTTGGATGGAGAGCCTTATGTATGCCCCTTCAAGTGCAGTGATAGCGCTTTACAGCACTCCTATTATTTAATGGAGTCAACCCAATGTGTACATGTTGTGGGACATCGGGATCGGCAAACCCTCTTATCATGACTGAATTTGTTATGTTATTGTCTTTTTTCCCCCCATTCTGTATTGAAAACACTGTATACTAATACCTTTCATTTCCTTTTTCCTGTTACAGAGTTTAATTTCCTGTAGATGGAGTCTACAGTTAGAATAGACATAATGCAGACTTTTGCATTTCACTGACATCTAGGCCGGGATTCAAGCCGAAGCACATTGTGGAACGCATTACATTTAAAGATAATTTCCAATTGAGCAGACATCCAACAGCTGCTACAATCAATGCGATCTCCGCGGGAACATTGCCTTTAAAGGTGGAATCCGCAATAGGGGGAAACAGCGCCACTGTCTGCCCCACGGCTGTTGTTATTGTTTTAGTTTTGTCGACGAAGCAGAGGTGGGGAGCACTGGGGGAGCGTCGTGCATCAAGAAAAAAAAAATAAATAAAGCAGTACATATGCTGCTGTTCTATCGCGCATGCAATGATGTCAAAGGGAAAACAACTGTGTTCATTGTTTCAAGTAACTTCTTTGTTGTTGTAATATCGCAAACAGACGTTGCAGTTTCACCATTAAGAATTCTAGCTTTAATGGGCACATTGTCGACAGGGCTCTACAACGTGCCTCGGATTGAATCATGGCCATAGCCTATGTTGGACATTTACTGATGTAGCTAGCTACTGTGATATTTCATACTGCGTTAAGGTCTCTTCTACTTTGTATAATACTATAACTTTGTATCTATACAGTAGGTATTCTAGTGGTTTAATTTAATTTCATAATGAATGTCTTTATCATGCAAACATTATCTAAAATACTAGTTTCATTTAAAAGGTAGCCCATTTGGCAAATTTAACAAGGTTCTAATGTGTATCTATTAATATTTCCTAGACAAATGGCCACACTATAACAGCAGAAAGTGACTGTATCTCTAAAGTTTGGAAGGGGACCTGACCTTGGATCATTTTAGAACAGCAACATGCTCAGAATTTATACTTTCACCATTTTAATAAATAACCAACAGGCACATTCTATAGATCAGAGGTTAATAACCACTCCATTCATATACATCCAAATGTCTGCACAGTTCAACTTCAATAACAAGTAAACCATCATCATAATACAGGAACGTCAATTGTGTTCTTAAAAGATGTCAGCCAAATGGCCCAATTGTGGGTAAAAGAAAAAGCAAGATATCTTGACAAAGCCCACTTATCCGAGAGAGTTTCAACAGCTCTTCTCCTCTGTTGTGTGATTGTGAGGATGCGCCATTGCAGGAAGAAAAGTTCAACTTTGACCTTTCTGTGTTAGCTGTGTTGCCCCTTTCTCTACTCTGGAACATTTGGCATCGTTGAGTTAGTGCCACCAAACCAACGCCGCGATTTACTGACCTCGCTGGTGCATAGTAGCCTACTGTTCTCACATCTCCTGCAATCTGTGTATCCTCTGGCATTCCCATAACCATTCTCACTGTTACAGAAATGGGCCAAAGCACAGTTATGGACTTTGCTGGTTTAGCAAGTATAAAAAATCTAAGGGAAGGTTTTCCTGTTCACGAAAACCTGCTTTACTGCATGCACGTCAACAGTACTGGACCTACATCTAATGGATACATATACGTTTTTTTCTCTTTACAAACTACATAGGTATATAAGCACACTCTAGATTTAATCTGGACCGCGGAAGATCCGCGTTATTGCGCAATTAAAATGTAAAGGTAATTTACAATTGAGCCGACATACTGTTTGCAGCGTTTACTGTGAATGCAGTCTCAGCGAATGCGGGAACATTGCCTTTAAATTAAAATTATGCTTTAGCATCGATCTTCCGTGGTCCAGATTGAATCTAGGCCTCAGTAGGCATTAGAGTTGGATCTGAGGTCTAGAATGCTGGGTGGAAGTTACTTAGTAGGACTTCGGACCACATTGTAGTCCTATAGTCTGCCAGATTATTTTATACTAAGTAACCCTGTAATAAAAATGTCCCGTACTTCAAGTGTGGCATTGGTGTGGGTTGTGGCGGCCGTGAGACTCTACAGTGATATGATGGGATGAGCACAGCAAAGAGACAACAGCTCCTAAGATTTGGATCCACTTGACATTCAGGCAAAAACCTTCCCATTCATTTCCTTAGAGGATACTATGCAGAGGCAAGCTGAGAACAGTTTGGTGGTCTAGATAGGATACAGCTTAAATCAAATTAATCTTGTGCACCAGCTGGCTCTCTCTCTGTCGAACCGTCTGGTTTCCGACCACCTCAGAATGGGACTTGACTGGAAGCCTATGGCAGGAGCGGAAAAACAACCACTGGTTTTAATTGGCTGATCTCTCAGTCCATCACTATCTAGTGCAACCCTTAGAACCTCCCCCTAAGTGTGCTGCATCCGGGGGCCAGTATTGTTTTTATGTTCTTGTGTAACAAAGGTATGGCTAGCTATTAGCATGAATGGCGATATGTTCCTACTACCTTGGGTCCAGGGAGTTATTTCCGTGGTGCACCATAACAAACACTTTTCCGCCCCAATTTGGAACGTCTCATAGTCGTGTGATTCACTCGGAATTTGAATTGATTATCATGTCACTCAGTAAATCTACACCCCTTCACAGTCCCACAATTTTACCAGGCTCTATGTTCCGGCAATTCGAGCCTGGGGACAAGTTTTTTGTGTGTGCAATTTAGCTAACCCTAACCCTTCACCTAACCTTAGTCTAATTCTCCTAACCTGCTACATTAATTATTCTAACCTGCTACAAAAAGTCCATTTTTACATAAGCTGTACTTTATCTAGTCAAAACCCAGTTGTTTGGCTTGAGTGTTGAGACCAGTGCAGACAGGTGTACTAGGTGTAGACTGAAACTTTCCAGCAGTGAAACAAGGAATTCTAGCACTATTTTGTCGTTCAACCTGTTATTTCATAGTACCGAGACTGCCATCATTTATGACAATTCCATATCTAGCCAGTATGAAAATGTATGCACTCACTAACTGTAAGTCGCTCTGGATAAGAGCGTCTGCTAAATGACTAAAATGTCAAATGTAGCCATCCAAGTCTGTATTTCACCTTGTCTAAACATCAGACTGTTACCATGGTTACTCCATGGCTATCAGTCTGAAAGAAGTTGCTGTAAAAAGACGCAACAGTCAGAATGTTGAATAAAATTATATTTCAATGTACTTTACCGGTTGTCTTTTTGGCGGTAGGAAGTGGAGATAAAATGGCCACAGGAAAGTATTATTAGCCCAACTTTCTGGGGTGCCGGTAGGTATATGGCTCTGTCGGCTTGTAATTCCAGTGAGTATTTTCAATCATGTGATGCAATTCACGTGATGCACAATATGTAAACAATAGCTGAATGTAACCAAACGTTGTCAACCGAAGCACGTTTCCTCGCAATCAGCTGGAAGTGTTTGCCGTTCGGTCTGTGGTTAGGTTCGGACATATTGTGCAAGTGTTTGTCTCGTGCAAATTGAGTCAGTATTGAAAATACAAACCGGAAATACAAACGATATACAGACCAGTGTCCTGAAGGTCGGGTTGATAACGCTCCCCTATGTATATTCTTTATCCGGCTCCGACATAGGGCCAAAATCGGTGGACAACAGGTAAAGTACGTTGAAATGAAGTTTGTTCGACATTCTGACTTGTAATGTGACTGTTTGGGAATGCTGAGCCTACATGTTAGAGACGAGTATGTAAGTATTTCACTCTCGGATTCTAAGAGGCTATATTTCACCATCTCACCGCCAGAGCAAAGGTTCATCAATAAAGAGTCCTGTTACTATGGTAGACAGCAGGGAAGGATATGGGTTGGCCCGGTGGGCAGGAGTAGTAAGGGTGAGGGATTAGAACGTGTGTGTGTGTGTGTGTGTGTGTGTGTGTGTGTGTGTGTCGGAGCCACACTAGCAGTGGTCAGGGTGGTACAGTAGAGTGGTGGTCTCAGGTAGCTCAGGCACCAACAGGTCTGCTCCTGAGGGGGGCGCTCATGTCCCAGGAATCAGGACTATAGGAGAGAGGAGACAGTTAATTGTTTAAAGCAGGGATGGGCAACTTTGATGGGGGTGGGGGCCACAAAATCGGAACTCATCATGAGGGGCCGCAGTTGTCGTCGTCCCCCGCCCCCCTCCCCCACCTTGATTACTACAAGTCTAGATAGCTGGCCGTTAGACTAATTTACCAATCTAAAACATGTTAGCTGACATGGGCTAATTGAGTGACTGTCAGTGACTGACATAACAAGAGGAAAACTGTTGATGCACAACCACATTTCGAAATTGCACCTTGTGTATTCTACTATTCTACCTTGCAACAGTTAGTTGAGACCCCGACTGAGTCCCCCCCCCCCCCCCCCCCCCCCCCCCCCCAAATTGATCCGAGGGCCTTCAAATGGGGGGCCACCAGTTGCCAATCCCTGGTTTAAACTATGACAAAAGATGAAAGGAACTACCAACTTTTCATGCAAAGAGGTTATGGAGATTCGATACACAATAGAAACCTGTCAGACTCCTGTACCTAAGATGTCCCATGTGGATCCTCAGTGGATGATTCTGTTTCCTTGACAACTACTGCCTTGGTGACCAACATGTCTGGATGCTGTTGCTTGGCTTCCTGTATCGCAATAGCGAGGGCCTGTGAAGGAACAAATTATATGACATTCATTTCAACTGCTTACTATGTAGAATCACTAGACTGGTGTATGTCTAGTAATGAAAACTCTATGAACACTTTTAAGACTACACATCCCCTGCTGTGTCTATAGCTTATAGGTTACTGTGTTACAGAGTTAATGTTGTCCTTCAGCTGGAGTCTGCTCACCTGCTCCTGGTCAACATCATCATCTCCTGTGATTATGATCCTCTTCTCAATTCTGGTCTCTGAATAGCCCCCTTTCACCGTCTGGAACACACAACAATTAGTTTTGGAACATTTGCCAAATTGAACACACTGTTGCTGTTGCTTATACAGTTGAAGTCGGAAGTTTACATACTCTAAGGTTGGAGTCATTAAAACTCGTTTTTCAACCACTCCACAAATGTCTTGTTAACAAACTATAGTTTTGGCAAGTCGGTTAGGACATCTACTTTGTGCATGACACAAGTAATTTTTCAAACAATTGTTTACAGACAGATTATTTCACTTATAATTCACTCACAATTCCAGTGGGTCAGAAGTTTACATACACTAAGTTGACTGTGCCTTTAAACAACTTGGAAAATTCCAGAAAATGATGTCATGGCTTTAGAAGCTTCTGACAGGCTAATTGACATCATTTGAGTCAATTGGAGGTGTACCTGTGGATGTATTTCAAGGCCTACCTTCAAACTCAGTGCCTCTTTCCTTGACATCATGGGAAAATCAAAAGAAATCAGCCAAGAACTCAGAAAATAAATTGTAGACCTGGTTCATCCTTGGGAGAAATTTCCAAACGCCTGAAGGTACCACATTCATCTGTACAAACAATAGTACGCAAGTATAAACACCATGGGACCACGCAGCCGTCATACCGCTCAGGAAGGAGACGTGTTCTGTCTCCTAGAGATGAACGTACTTTGGTGCGAAAAGTGCAAATCAATCCCAGAACAACAGCAAATATATTGTGAAGATGCTGGAGGAAACGGGTACAAAAGTATCTATATCCACAGTAAAACGAGTCCTATAACGACATAACCTAAAAGGCCGCTCAGCAAGGAAGAAGCCACTGCTCCAAAACCGCCATAAAAAAGCAAGACTACGGTTTGCAACTTCACATGGGGACAAAGATCGTCCTTTTTGGAGAAATGTCCTCTGGTCTGATGAAACAAAAATAGAACTGTTTGGCCATAATGACCATCGTTATGTTTGGAGGAAAAAGGGGGTAGCTTGCAAGCCAAAGAACACCATCCCAACCGTGAAGCACGGGGGAAGCAGCATCATGCTGTGGGGGTGCTTTGTTGCAGGAGGGACTGGTGCACTTCTCAAAATAGATGGCATCATGAGGAAGGAAAATGATGTGGATATATTGAAGCAACATCTCAAGACATCAGTCAGGAAGTTAAAGCTTGGTCACAAATGGGTCTTCCAAATGGACAATGACCCCAAGCATACTTCCAAAGTTGTGCCAAAATGGCTTAAGGAAAACAAAGTCAAGGTATTGGAGTGGCCATCACAAAGCCCTGACCTCAATCCTATAGAAAATGTGTGGGCAGAACTGAAAAAGCGTGTGCGAGCAAGGAAGCCTACAAACCTGACTCAGTTACACCAGCTCTGTCAGGAGGAATGGGCCAAAATTCACCCAACTTATTGTGGGAAGCTTGTGGAAGGCTACGCGAAACGTTTGACCCAAGTTAAACAATTTAAAGGCAATGCTACCAAATACTAATTGAGTGTATGTAAACTTCTGACCCACTGGGAATGTGATGAAAGAAATAAAAGCTGAAAGAAATCATTATCTCAACTATTATTCTGACATTTCACATTCTTAAAATAAACTGGTGATCCTAACTGACCTAAGACAGGGAATTTTTACTAGGATTAAATGTCAGGAATTGTGAAAAACTGAGTTTAAATGTATTTGGCTAAGGTGTATGTAAACTTCCAACTTCAACTGTACCTCTACAGCTAGAGAAAACATAAGATCAATGGAAACCAATAATACTGAAGGTACTGAATATGTCAGACCATATTTGACCATCTTTGATACCTTGGTGACATGTGTGGTTGCAGAGGTAACATTCTCAGTAACAAGTATTGGAGATCCAGAGGCCTCTCTTCCCAAAGTACACATGTGCACCTGTCAGGACACATGGGGAAAAAAGCATTAATGACATCATGATCATACATGGACACCAGACGTGGGTTCAAATGTGAATTGGAGAATCTGGTATTTAAAATATTTGTTCTGTGTATTTGAGTATTTTCAAATACACAGCCCGAAACAAGTACTTTTATTGAGTATTTGAATAATAGTCTGCTAAATTGTGTTTGACAGGATTATTGAGTATTTGAATAATAGTCTGCTAAATTGTGTTTGACAGGATTTTCAAATACTTATTTCAAATATAATTTTCAAATACCTAGTTTAAATGGATAGGAGTGTATTTAAGTCAGTGTATTTGAGTTTTTCAAATACTTTCCAAGTGTATTTCCAAATAAATTCAAATATTAATTCCACTACTTGTCTTTTCAAATAAAAGATAGCTGAATACTTACTATGAATGTATGTGAAAGTAATTGAGATATTTGAAACCCAGGTCTGATGGACACACATGCACACACACAGACACACATATACATGATTAAATACATACAGTGCATTCGGAAAGTATTCAGACCCCTTCACCTTTTCCACATTTTGTTACGTTACAGCCTTATTCTAAAATGGTTAACATAAAACATTTTCCTCATCAATCTACACACAATAACCCATAATGACAAAGCAAAAACAGGTTTTTAGAAATGTTTGCAAATGTATTAAAAATTAAAAACAGAAATACCTTATTTACATAAGTATTCAGACCCTTTGCTATGAGACTCAAAATTGAGCTCAGGTGCATCCTGTTTCCATTGATCATCCTTGAGATGTTTCTACAACTTGATTGGAGTCCACCTGTGGTAAATTAAATTGATTGGACATGATTTGGAAAGGCACACATCTGTCTATATAAGGTCCCACGGTTGACAGTGCATGTCAGAGCAAAAACCAAGCCATGAGGTCGAAGGCATTATCCATAGAGCTCTGAGACAGGATTTTGTCGAGGCACAGATCTGGGGAAGGGTACCAAAAGATTTCTGCAGCATTGAAGGTCCCCAAGAAGACAGTGGCCTCCATCATTTTTAAATGGAAGACTTTTGGAACCACCAAGACTCTTCCTAGAGCTGGCCACCCGGCCAAACTGAGCAATTGGGGGAGAAGGGCCTTGGTCAGGGAATTGACCAAGAACCTGATGGTCATTCTGACAGAGCTCCAGAGTTCCTCTGTGGAGATGGGGGAATATTCCAGAAGGACAACCATCTCTGTAGCACTCCACCAATCAGGCCTTTATGGTAGAGTGGCCAGACAGAAGCCACTCCTCAGTAAAAGGCACATGACAACCCGCTTGGAGTTTGCCAAAAGGCACCTAAAGGACTCTCACACCATGAGAAACAAGATTCTCTGGTCTGATGAAACCAAGATTGAACTTTTTGGCCTGAATGCCAAGCGTCACGTGTGGAGGAAACCTGGCACCATCCCTATGGTGAAGGATGTTTTTCAGCGGCAGGGACTGGGAGATTAGTCAGGCTTGAGGGAAAGATGAACGGAGCAAAGTACAGAGAGATCCTAGATGAAAATCTGCTCCGGAGTGCTCAGGACCTCAGACTGGGGTGAAGGTTCACCTTAAGCACACAGCCAAGACAGTGCAGGAGTGGCTTCGGGACAAGTCTCTGAATGTCCTTGAGTGGCCCATCCAGAGCCCGGACTTGAACCCCATCGATCATCTCTGGAGAGACCTGAAAATAGCTGTGCAGCGACGCTCCCCATCCAACCAGAGCTTGAGAGTGTCTGCAGAGAAGAATGGGAGAAACTCCCCAAATTCAGGTGTGTCAAGCTTGTAGCGTCATACGCAAGACTGACCAGTCTTTAGAATAAGGCTGTAACGTAACAAAATGTGGAAAAAGTCAAGGGGTCTGAATACTTTCAGAATGCATCCATATTAAACAGCACAATGCAAACATACTCATACATAGATACATAGTCAGGCATACACATTCAAATTATTTGGTTCACTCTAACACATCTAATTCTAACACAATCTCATTCTAACACAGAGGGAGAAGTAGGTTTAAGCTGCTGAGACCTACAATCTGTGTGCTGGAGTTAAAATTGGACAGGTCAGGTAATAATGTACTCACAGGGGAAACACCTTCTGTTGTTGAATAAGAAGTCTCGCCTATACTGCTTACAGTCACACCATGATCCTGAAAGAGACAGAAAACCCGATGTGATGCCCACTCCTGGTTTGAATGACAGACTTTCAAATATGTCAGACAGACCATTTTACGATCAGTCGAGATATAATGCATTATACTCTCTGTGCTTTCAAATCATTATAGGAATGTATTATAAGGATGCTATAACTACTTATGAGCAATTATGATATGTCATAGCAAGTGTTATAAGGCATTTTAAATGAACTTATTAGGCATTATATATATATATATATATGTGTGTATGCATCATAGAAAGTGTTACCACGACGGTAGGACCACAGAGAATTGGGGTCGTACCGAATACTGAAATGTTGGTAACTTTGAAATGACTTTAAAAAAAACATCAAACCTTTATAGAGAACACTAATGGCATATTAATGTGCATTTTCTAACATTTAGTCAGATACTGTAAATGGCTGATGTGTTTTTAGCACATGAAAGCAACATTTTCATTTGTCTGTAGCCTACAGAAGTTTGTTGTTTGCAATTATAATGTCCAGGTTTGATATTGCCCATTTGGTTGACTGGTCAGTCTATAAATCTGAGGTCTGTATATTTGAGGTTCTACTGTAGCATCTATATACCTTTTCTCTATCTTTATACCTAACGAGCAATGGCCTCTACCTGATCAATTGTACCAGATCTCCATCGGAAATGCTTCTCTACCTGATCTGTGAACTCCACGATGGTTGTGGTGACCTCTGACCCATTGGACTGTGTCTCGACCTTGACATCGGTCTTCCTCAGTGCATGGCTGGCGACAATGCAACTAGCCTCTCTGCTCAGAGCTGTCATGGGGGACACGTAAGTGGTCTCTCTCACTGTCTGGTCTCTGTCGACCTTGACCTCAGTCTTCCTCAGTGCATGGGATGCGACGACATCACTAGCCTCTCTGCTCAGCGCTGTCATGGCGGACACGTAAGTGGTCTCTTTCTGTGACTGGTCTCTGTCGACCTTGACCTCAGTCTTCCTCAGTGCATGGGAAGCGACGACGTCACTTGCCTCTCTGCTCAGCGCCGTCATGGGGGATGAGTAAGTGGTTTCTTTCTGTGACTGGTCTCTGTCGATGGGCACTGACCTCTTTGGTTTTCTGGGCACAACAGGCTTTGAAGGAAAACACAGAATAATAACTTCCATTGCTAGAATTTAATTTGAGATTCAGCACTCACAAGCTGTATGTAAAATATTTGAGAGAAAGCGTCTTTACATTTCCTTAACCCTCCCGTTGTCCTAGGGTCAAAATGACCCGCCACTGTGTTGAACCAACTTTATTAAATTGTTATATTTTTGGGATCATTTGTGAGAAGGAGGCAGTGAGACTTTAAAGAAAGTCCCATGATTTTGTCATATGAAAGACCAGTGAAGTCCAGCATAAACTTCAAGAAAACATTAGTGAGCTGTAATGGTACTCACATTACACTGTCAATGTCAATGTTAAATTTAGCCAATTACTGTTAATTATGTAATGATTTGTACACTAAGGCTTACTTCAGCCGTTTTGACCTGTAAACTCATTACTAGTTACTTATTCTAAGGCTAAAAGATGATCCCATAACCGTAAACCTTTAGTGAACTATCACTTCAAATACCTACCTGGACCCAAACTGTCAGTGGCGTTTGCTTGTGTACTTTACCTCGTGGTGTCGGACCTCTTCGGTGTGCAGCTGCTTGGCAGGAGGGCTGCTGCTAGCCCCGGTGAGAGGAGCCGAGACGAGAGGTGGCGGGGTTCCCTGCATCAGGTCGATGCTCAGGCTGAGGCCCACGTCGGGTGACAGGGGCCTCTCGCCCAGCTCCATCATGCCCCTGGAGAACTCCTCCATGCCCGTATGGAGGTCCATGAGGACAGTGAAGTCTACCTCGGCCTCCAGGCTGGACGTAGAGCTGACCGTGATGCTGGAGCACTTGCGCTCGATGCCCAGGTGGGTTTCCTTCAGGTACAGGGTCTCGTGGTCTTGGTCGTCCTCTGACACTGAGCCCAACCGCCGCTCCCATGGCTCCCTCTGCAGGTTAGATTGGAGAAGACGGACAAGAGAATTAAAAAACATAGTCGGCTCAATACAAGGGACTCGATATAAAGATTTTTGCACCTGTGCTAAAAAATATATACTTAAAAGGTCAAACAGAAATATCAAATAATCTTTCATCATTAGACTTTAAGGTCATATTTTAGCTTTGTGTTTTGTTTATGATCAGCAGATGCTAATGAAGGGGTTGAACATGCTGAAGAGGTTTTGCACATTGAACAAAACAGTGACTCACCATGGCTTCGTCAAAAGGCTCCTCATGAATGGCAGGTGTAGGAGGGGTGTCCTATAGAAGCAAAATGAGACCATTTTATTTCACCTAACGAAACTGTAAAGAACAGCCATGAACTGTACACACAATAATATTGGCATCATCCTTCTGACTGTCATTGAACGAGAAACTTCCCAGAGAGAATTCAAGGGTTTGCATTGTCAATGAATGCAGTGACATCACCTTGGGATTTACTCTTTACTTCAGTACAAGGCTGGTTACATTTTTTTCCAAACAATGGAGTGAATGTGAAACCAACTGTATGACAAGTTATGAGCAACATATGTTGACGTCACCACACATAATAGCTGTTTCCACCATCATTTTGTTGAAGACATTGTTCTAGCCAGTGGTTCCAAGATATTTTGCACATGGCAAGGCTGAGGAGGCTTCATAATGTCATGCTAATCCCATTGAAAGTAGACCTATGCTAACTGTAAGCTTACAGTTCATATATGAATATAATAACTTGAGGTAATTGTTCACACAACTTTCACACATGCACATAGGATGTGTTTAAAGTCAACATTATCACAAAATCTGTAAGTGCGATGGTAATGCCATGCACTGTTGAGGTTAGATAACAATACCTTCCAGGAATCAGGTATTTGTATACTTAAGTCCAGTGTACAAGTACCTCAGCCCTGAACAATGTGGCTGGCAGCGCTGCAGCCAAGAATTAGTGCATAACATCTCATAATAAATGGCATATTGGCTATTGCTGTAGAGATGCCAACACTGAACATTTTGGCCAAATGTCCAAAGCGCACTGTGGCTTCAAAGGAAGGTGATGGTGCGAAGGCCATTGACTCCTTGCAACAGCAACCACCTTTAGTCAGGGAGGTAAGAGGATGATGTTGGAAGGAGAGACCAGGTGTTAACGTGGTGACGAACAGACGCCAGAAGCTTAAGCAATGGAAACATTGCTTAAAGGCCCACCGGTTTCTAAAATGGACAAGCAGATGTTAAGCTTTGCAGAGGGGAACGAGAGCCAGGAGCTCCCGGGCCATGAACTTGTTAAGTCTCAAAATGCCATTGGCCAATGATAAGATGTGAAGGGCCACAGGCTTTTACCTGCTTTTTTATATACAGCCACATGAGTTCTACATGTGTATATTCAAGTGGATAAAAACAAGGTTGTGATCGACTTAAGCACATGCAATGCTTTAGTTTCCAGTGATAGACAGGCAGGTTAGGCAGACGGCGTTACCACTTGTTTCCTCTTGGTTGCTTCCTGGCTAGAGTTCCTGTAATGGCCGTTGCTAGAGTCATTGGTGACATTCTGCCTGTTGCGATCTCTAGTCTCCTTGGACCACTGTGTTTTCAGAGGGAGGGTTGGAGGGGGAGCTGCATGGGAGGCCAAAACCTTTGAGCCAAAGGAAAAGGTGTCTGTAAAATCTGGGTAAGCCTCGGGACGTCCTTCATGGATTAGTCTTCCACCGTCAGTCCAGAAACTCGATCCACAAATGTCCCTCTGATCCTTGTGTTCACCTGTCCCTTGTAGCTCATTCTCTGGTAGTTGCTTTGCGACCTCTGTGTGCTGGTTGGTGGTTGTCATCCCTTGCTTGCTGTCATTTGGGTCAGGACATGCTGTAGGCAAACCACCTGTTCTCTTTCTGGTTTCAGAGGACCCCTCTGTTGATTGCATCATCCGAGTGTCATCTACTCTTCCGGCCACGCCTCCTTCAGCTTGGGTTTGCGTTTGAGGTATGATGACACCTTCGTTCCCCCCTTTATTCAAATACTTCTTTGATCTCTGTGGCTTGAGAGGAACTATTCGGGTGACTTTGGAGTGTGATGCACTCCCAGTTTTGTTGGAATTGTTTCCTCTCTCTGGCTTTGGGTCTTTTGTTTCCAGAGCTTCAGGTTCTCTCATCTCCCTCTTTCTTTCAGACTCACTTCGACCTTGGTTGCCGTTATTTATAGATTCCATAGCGACCTGGTCATTGCTATTGTTTTTTCTCTCTGGGAACGATTCATACTGATACAGACTCTGCTTCAACTGTTTTCTTTTCATTTCAATCCTCTGTTTGGAATAGAGATTATCCGCTGGAGGTGAATCAAATCCATTCTCTTGAACACTGTTCCTTGAGAAAAAGGTGTCATATGAATGCGTATTACTTCCAAAGGTTGCATCATCCATGGAGTGCATATCCTTATGTCCAGTTGCAGTCGAAACTGTTTCTTGTCTTTGGGATCTCGATCCAGTGCCACCTGCTTTAGTTTTCCCAGAATCCTGAGGTGAAGTTATAGGCTTCATCTCTGTTGTTTTTCCAAGTTGCACATTCTCAGACACCATACCAATACATGTGTCTTTGGGATCAAAAGCCAAATGCAGTGTATAGGGAGAGGACTGATTCTGTTCTTCTTTTGAGCTTCCTTGACCACCATCTTGCTTTTCACTCAATATGGAATCCACAGAGGCCTATATATTGGTAAAAACACAGATTCATTAAGCTGCATGTACTATTCTAATGCATTACTATTAAGTTTGTTACACCATATCACCCCATGGACCTTAGGTAGTATGTCATTTGAAATGACTGGATGCGTGAAAGCTATATCTGGTGGAATACTATTTTTATATACGTTTTGGCAATATTTTTTCCACCTATCTAGTCCTTTTATCTAGTCCTTTTGGATTAGAGAGCCGTGTTTCCTGTTGCTTTTCTATCAACATTTTGCAAAGGAAGCTAACTACTTGTAGTCATGGGCAGGGGAGGGGGACAAAAAGAGTATGAGGGTGCCTGTCCTTCCAATTAAGTGGTAAGGGAAACCCCTCCCAGCAAACATGCCAACACGTATTGGGCACGTGGGTCCCAATGCAGGCTAAAATATTGGCTCAATGTAGGCTGCCCACATTGGGCCAAAGCACCTTTGCTCATCGGCTCCATGTTGGCCCTAAGGCAGGTGGCCCCAAGGGTAGCACTCATTTCGCCTGAAATAAGCCCACCCTTTGGATCGGCTGCCCTTATTGAGCCCATTTGGGCCCCAATATGAGCTTATAGTATTGGCCCTAGGTGTATTGCCCAATGTATCAGTTTTATCTCTTATTTAATGGAAATGTATTTATTCAAAATGTATTTATTGCAATTTAACACATTTTCTAGCCTTAAAGGTTTTTAGCAAACGTGTTTTATTGTATCAGAAAGACAAATACTATCATACATATATTATTTTACAAGAGAAACTGTTAAGTTTTTAATTTCACATGCACTCATTTAAATACACTTCTTAGATGTAAACTCCCCGAAATCAGGGACTTACGTGGATTTTTGGCCGGTTCTGAATGTGTTTGTAGCTTGTAGATGTGTCTGTGTTGGGTTTAGAGAAAAATAGGCGTGTGTGATTCTGGTCGCTGACTAAGGCAGTACGACCTTCAGAGCTGAGGGAGTTACGTATACCATTTCTTGGCCTTTTTCTCTGGCTCAGTATGTCACTGGTTTCATTTTGCTGTGATGTTCATGATCATATTTGTTTTACAGTTATAAGGAAGGTGAAATCTTATAGTGAGTCATTTTATAATTTGGCTGTTACTATATTTAGAGAGCATATCAGTCATGTCAGGCCCTATTCACCCACTTTTGTTGAATAGGAATTGCATCATACTGTATATTATATTTTGATATTTCATATTTTCAGCATATTTGTACTATGTACTATGTCCTCAAAAGTGAGTACAACTCAGCAATTTATAACTATTTTTGCCAGAAAGGTGAGATTTTTCTGGCTGTATAAGCATTACTAGTTATTGTTTATGTCCCTCGCATGAGGTTTGTCTATTTACAGTGAGGGAAAAAAGTATTTGATCCCCTGCTGATTTTGTACGTTTGCCCACTGACAAAGAAATGATCAGTCTATAATTTTAATGGTAGGTTTATTTGAACAGTGAGAGACAGAATAACAACAACAAAATCCAGAAAAACGCATGTCAAAAATGTTATAAATTAATTTGCATTTTAATGAAGGAAATAAGTATTTGACCCCCTTTCAATCAGAAAGATTTCTGGCTCCCAGGTGTCTTTTATACAGGTAACGAGCTGAGATTAGGAGCACACTCTTAAAGGGAGTGCTCCTAATCTCAGCTTGTTACCTGTATAAAAGACACCTGTCCACAGAAGCAATCAATCAATCAGATTCCAAACTCTCCACCATGGCCAAGACCAAAGAGCTCTCCAAGGATGTCAGGGACAAGATTGTAGACCTACACAAGGCTGGAATGGGCTACAAGACCATCGCCAAGCAGCTTGGTGAGAAGGTGACAACAGTTGGTGCGATTATTCGCAAATGAAAGAAACACAAAAGAACTGTCAATCTCCCTCGGCCTGGGGCTCCATGCAAGATCTCACCTCGTGGAGTTGCAATGATCATGAGAACGGTGAGGAATCAGGCCATAACTACACGAGAGGATCTTGTCAATGATCTCAAGGCAGCTTGGACCATAATCACCAAGAAAACAATTGGTAACACACTACGCCTTGAAGGACTGAAATCATGCAGCGCCCGCAAGGTCCCCCTGCTCAAGAAAGCACATATACATGCCCGTCTGAAGTTTGCCAATGAACATCTGAATGATTCAGAGGAGAACTGGGTGAAAGTGTTGTGGTAAGATGAGACCAAAATGGAGCTCTTTGGCATCAACTCAACTCGCCGTGTTTGGAGGAGGAGGAATGCTGCCTATGATCCCAAGAACACCATCCCCACCATCAAACATGGAGGTGGAAACATTATGCTTTGGGGGTGTTGTTCTGCTAAGTGGACAGGACAACTTCACCGCATCAAAGGGACGATGGACGGGGCCATGTACCGTCAAATCTTGGGTGAGAACCTCCTTCCCTCAGCCAGGGCATTGAAAATGGGTCGTGGATGGGTATTCCAGCATGACAATGACCCAAAACTCACGGCCAAGGGAACAAAGGAGTGGCTCAAGAAGAAGCACATTAAGGTCCTGGAGTGGCCTAGCCAGTCTCCAGACCTTAATCCCATAGAAAATCTGAGGAGGGAGCTGAAGGTTTGAGTTGCCAAAACGTCAGCCTCGAAACTTTAATGACTTGGAGAAGATCTGCAAAGAGGAGTGGGACAAAATCCCTCCTGAGATGTGTGCAAACCTGGTGGCCAACTACAAGAATCGTCTGAGCTCTGTGATTGCCAACAAGGGTTTTGCCACCAAGTACTAAGTTATGTTTTGCAGAGGGGTCAAATACTTATTTCCCTCATTAAAATGCAAATAAATTCATAACATTTTTGACATGCGTTTTTCTGGATTTTTTTGTTGTTATTCTGTCTCTCACTGTTCAAATAAACCTACCATTAAAATTATAGACTGATAATTTCTTTGTCAGTGGGCAAACGTACAAAATCAGCAGGGGATCAGATACTTTTTTTCCTCACTGTAGGCGGAAATCTAAATTTTGCCATTACATCTAACAGGTTAAAGACTTCATCATTGGGAGTGTACAAGATACATTTGAACAACAGAACAAACTGGAACAACACTCTCAGTAACAGTTGCACAAAAATAACTGCAATCCACAGACCCAAATATTCTAATGAGCCCCAGCCTCTACAGTCGTGGTCAAAAGTTTTGAGAATGACACAAATATTAATTTTCACAAAGTCTGCTGCCTCAGTTTTTATGATGGCAATTTGCATATGCTCCAGAATGTTATGAAGAGTGATCAGATGAATTGCAATTAATTGCAAAGTCCCTCTTTGCCCCACGGGGGGCCAGTATGAAAAAATAAAATAAAAATGTATGCACTCACTAACTGTAAGTCGCTCTGGATAAGAGCGTCTGCTAAATGACTAAAATGTTAAATGTTAATCCCCCAAAAAAACATTTCCACTGCATTTCAGTCCTGCCACAAAAGGACCAGCTGACATCATGTCAGTGATTCCCTCGTTAACACAGGTGAGAGTGTTGAAGCGGACAAGGCTGGAGATCACTCTGTCATGCTGATTGAGTTAGAATAACAGACTGGAAGCTTTAAAAGGTGGGTGGTGCTTGAAATCATTATTCTTCCTCTGTTAACCATGGTTACCTGCAAGGAAACATGTGCTGTCATCATTGCTTTGCACAAAAAGGGCTTTACTGGCAAAGATATTGCTGCTAGTAAGATTGCAGCTAAATTAACAATTTATCGGATCATCAAGAACTTCAAGGAGAGAGGTTCAATTGTTGTGAAGAAGGCTTCAGGGCACCCAAGAAAGTCCAGCAAGCGCCAGGACCATCTCCTAAAGTTGATTCAGCTGCGGGATCGGGGCACCACCAGTGCAGAGCTTGCTCAGGAATGGCAGCAGGCAGGTGTGAGTGCATCTGCACGTACAGTGAGGCGAAGACTTTTGAGGATGGCCTGGTGTCAAGAAGGGCAGCGAGGAAGCCACTTCTCTCCAGGAAAAACATCAGGGATAGACTGATATTCTGCAAAAGGTACAGGGATTGGACTGCTGAGGACTGGGGTAAAGTCATTTTCTTTGATGAATCCCCTTTCCGATTGTTTGGGGTATCCGGAAAAAAAGCTTGTCCGGAGAAGACGAGGTGAGCGCTACCATCAGTCCTGTGTCATGCCAACAGTAAAGCATCCTGAGACCATTCATGTGTGGGGTTGCTTCTCAGCCAAGGGAGTGGGCTCACTCACAATTTTGCCTAAGAACACAGCCATGAATAAAGAATGGTACCAACACATCCTCCGAGAGCAACTTCTCCCAACCATTCAAGAACAGTTTGGTGACGAACAATGCCTTTTCCAGCATGATGGAGCACCTTGCCATAAGGCAAAAGTGCTCAGGGAACAAAACATCAACATTTTGGGTCCATGGCCAGGAAACTCCAGAGACCTTAATCCCATTGAGAACTTGTGGTCAATCCTCAAGAGGCGGGTGGACAAACAAAAACCCACAAATTCTGATAAACTCCAAGCATTGATTATGCAAGAATGGGCTGCCATCAGTCAGGATGTGGCCCAGAAGTTAATTGACAGCATGCTAGGGCAGATTGCAGAGGTCTTGAAAAAGAAGGGTCAACACTGAAAATATTGACTCTTTGCATAAACTTAATGTAATTGTCAATAAAAGCCTTTGACACTTATGGAATGCTTGTAATTATACTTCAGTATACCATAGTAACATCTGACAAAAATATCTAAAAACACTGAAGCAGCAAACTTTGTGAAGACCAATACTTGTGTCATTCTCAAAACTTTTCACCACGACTGTACATTATGAAGTAGTTGGGCGTGGTGTAGGCTAGGCTGTGCTGGGCTAGCCCGCGATGGGCTGGTGTTGGCTTGGTGTGGGCTAGCCCGAGCCCACCTTGCCCACCGAATACCCACAGGGGGCCAATGGGGTCATGTTTGCTGGGCTGGTGAGAATGAGTATACAGTAAGATTCCAAATTAGAGTGTTGGAAAGTAACATCGCAAGGAACCCCCCCTTCCTTACTTGTTTCCTCTCTGGGGTGCCTCCGGGGGGCGTGGCTGAGGACAGGCGTTTCTCCCTCTGTGACAGCTTGCTGTTGGGCTCCCTGAGAGCTCTCTTTAGTTCGTTGATGCTGGCCTGGTGCTTCTGCAGGACATCCTCGGGCTTGTCCAGGAACTGCTGCTAGATAGAGAGAGGGAGATAGGTCACAGACTGGAGTTAGGACTCCTCCCACTTCCATTTCAGAATTGAACCAGACATGGACATTTGAATGAAAAGTGCTGTGTTAATGGTATATTATGTGTTTGTAATTCTTCATCTCAAATTCCACCTCCATTTCAATTCTGCTCGGAGCTCACAACATGGATGTTACAACAAATATCCAATCTGTTTCTGATATGGGCTGAAGAATGAGACTAACGCTGCTATGCATGGATGAATAGATGAGTATAGACATGGACCCCATTACACTCCTCTTGAGTAAAGAGTACAATGTTTTTTATCTGCCCTGGAATTACATATTTCAGGCAAGAGATATCTAGAATTTTCCAGATTACCAGATCACACAGTATGAAAATCTTTCAAATCAACTGATGTTATGTCCTCCTCAGTGGTAACGTTATCTGATTAAATATCTTTCAATCACGATGACATAACTATGTCATAATATGTCATAACAGCTGACATAACTTGTCAAAACCTGTTATAATATGGTCATAACACTGTCATGACACATATATTTAGATTTGTTATGACATATATTGCGTTATTTTATGGCTGGTTCTGACACCTACATAAGAGTGTAACAACCCACAAAACCTACCACGGTAGTTATTTTACAGTATGGCTGGTTATGACACCTACATAAGAGTGTAAAACCCCACAAAACCTACCACATAAGGCAAAACATTCCATTACACCATAGCCTACGTGTCAACAGTGTTTATGTTGTATATATATTTTTGAAATGTACCATATTAAATTATCCTTGTAATTGCGCACACGTTGATATCAAACTCACTCCAATTCGCATACCACCCCAACAGATCCACAGATGACACAATCGCACTCCACACTGCCCTTTCCCACCTGGACAAAAGGAACACCTATGTGAGAATGCTGTTCATTGACTACAGCTCAGCATTCAACGCCATAGCTTCCACAAAGCTCATCACTAAGCTAGGGACCCTGGGACTAAACACCTCCCTCTGCAACTGGATCCTGGACTTCCTGACGGGCCGCCCCCAGGTGGTAAGGGTAGGCAACAACACATCTGCCACGCTTATCCTCAACACCGGGACCCCTCAGGGGTGAGTGCTTAGTCCCCTCCTGTACTCCCTGTTCACCCATGACTGCGAGGCCAAGCACGACTCCAACACCATCATTAAGTTTACTGAGGACACAACAGTGGTAGGCCTGATCACCGACAACGATGAGACAGCCTATAGGGAGGAGGTCAGAGACCTGGCAGTATGGTGCCATGACAACAACCTCTCCCTCAACGTGAGCAAGACAAAGGAGATGATCGTGGACTACAGGAAAAGGAGGGCCGAACAGGCCCCCATTAACATTGACAGGGCTGTAGTGGAGCGGATCGAGAGTTTCAAGTTCCTTGTTGTCCACATCACCAACAAAGTATCATGGTCCAAACACACCAAGACAGTCGTGAAGAGGGCACGACAACACCTTTTACCCCTCAGGAGACTGAAAAGATTTGGTATGGATCCCCAGATCCTCAAAACGCTTTACAGCTGCACCATCGAGAGCATCCTGACCAGTTGCATCACTGCCTGGTATGGCAACTGCTCGGCATCCAACCATAAGGCGCTACAGAGGGTAGTGCATACGGCCCAATACATCACTGGGGCCAAGCTTCCTGCCATCCAGGACCTATATACTAGGCATGTCAGAGGAAGGCCCAAAAAATTGTCAAAGACTCCAGTCACCCAAGTCATACTGTTCCCCCCCCCCCCCCCCCCCCCCCCCCCCCACTCGCTGTTTATTATCTATGCATAGTCACTTTACCCCTACCTACATTTACAAATTACCTCGACTAACCTGTACCACCGCACATTGACTCGGTACCGGTACCCCTTGTATATAGCCTCATTATTGTTATGTAATTTTATTGTGCTACTTTTTATTTTATTTTTTACTTTAGTTTATTTAGCAAATATTTTCTAAACTCTATTTCTTGAACTGCATTGTTGGTTAAGGGCTTGTAAGTAAGCATTCCACGGTAAGGTCTACACCTGTTGTATTCGGCGCATGTGACAAATACAATTTTATTTGAACACCTACGCTCTGTTGCTGATGACTGGGATGAATGCAGGAGCAGATTTCAGGAGCAGGACAAGACACCCTCTTTTTGACTGATGACTGATATAAGGGCATGATAGGCCTATCTGGCTTATATGATTGTGATGGTCATTATGCTTCTTGACATTGTCATAAAGTGTATTTTCTTAGTCCAAATAAAGTGACACAGGATGGTCATAATGCTTCATGAAAGTGTCATAAAGTGTATTTTCTACAAGTTATTTAAAATATGATGTAGGTGTCATAACCAGCCATAAAATAACACAATATATGTCACAACAGAGGTAAATATATGGGTCATGATGTCACACTCTGGCTCCGGGACTGTGTGTTAGAGCCAGGGTGTATTTCATTTGGTGGTGTTGGGTTGGGTGAGTTTCATTTGTTTGTGTTTTGGTGATTGGTTAATGACTCCCAATCGGAGGTAACGAGTGTCAGCTGTCGGCTCGTTATCTCTGATTGGGAGCCATATATATTCTGTGTGTTTTTCTCCTTGTGTTTGTGGGTTTGTGTTTCCTTGTGCTATGTTCAGTCGGTGTCATAGAGAACTTCACGTATCGTCTTTTGTTGTTTTTCGTGGTTGCTTTGATAAATAAAGTCATCATGTTCACTCACAACGCTGCGCATTGGTCTCCTGTTGTAGACGACCGTGACAGAAAAACCCACCATAAAAGGACCAAGCAGCGCGTCCAGGAGCAAAGGGTCTGGACATGGAAGGAACTGTTGGACGGTAAAGGGTCCTGGACTTGGGAGGAGATCCTGGAGGGTATGGATCGCCGTCCATGGAGCGAGACGGTGGAGAGGCGACGGCGAGAGGAGCAACGGCGTCGGCAGAGCCAACGTCGGAAGGACGAGAGGCAACCCCAAGAAATTTTTTGGGGGGGGCACATGGCTTGGGCGACTGAGCAGCAGGAGGCTGCCACAAGGCAGATGCAGAAGGCTACCAGGTTAAGGGGGCTGACGGAGGCAGAGAAGGGACGGATTCAGGAGGCTACCAGGTCAAGGGGGCTACTGGGTAAAGCAGGGAAGGAAGGTGTAGAGGCACGGCGAGAGGTACTGGGGTGTGTAACCAGTTCGGTCCGGCCCGTTCCTAGTCCCGAGGTACAGCCAGTAGTGTGTGTTCCCCGTACGGTACGGCCTGTTCCGGCCCCTCGCACTAAGTGTACGGTGCGCGTCGCCAGTCCGGTTCGGCCTGATCCTGCCACCCGCACCAAGTGTACGGTGCGTGTCGCCAGCCCAGCCCGGCCTGTTCCGGTCCCTCGCACTAAGTGTACGGTGCGCGTCGCTATCCCGGTGCTGCCCCTTAGGCCGATGCTGCCCCTTAGTCCGGGGTTGCCCCTTAGTCCAGGTGGGGTTAGGTGGAGGGTGGTCATTAGGAGGAGGCTACCGAAGCAGGTTGTGACTGTGGTGGGGTGGGGATCACGACCGGGGCCAGAGCCGCCACCATGGACAGACGCCCACCCAGACCCTCCCCTAGTCCTGATGTTGGTGCGCCCGGAGTTCGCACCTTTAGGGGGGGGTACTGTGACACTCTGGCTCTATGGACGTTTATATTGAGCCAGGGTTGTTCATTTTCATGTGTTTGGGTGTATTTCATTTGGTGGTGTTGGGGATGGGTGAGTTTCATTTTGTTTGTGTCATGTGGTGATTGGTCGATGACTCCCAATCGGAGGTAACGAGTGTCAGCTGTCGGCTCGTTATCTCTGATTGGGAGCCATATATATTCTGTATGTTTTCTCCTTTGTGTTGTGGGTTATTGTTTCCTTGTTGCTGTTAGTGTATATCAGTATTTTGGACTTCACTTTCGACAGTGTAATGACCATATTATGGCAGGTTATGACAAAGTTTATGTCAGCTGTTATGACATATTATGACATGGTTATGACTGTGTCATAACATGTTATGACACTTGGTGTCAAGTCAAGTGTTACACTTTATTGCAATACTGTATTATTATAATGTAGCTTAATAGAGACTGCGGCTATAAAGACGATAGAACAAAAATGCAGAATACTCCGTCTCCTACTGGCTTTGTCTATGTTAACAATGTCCAAACCTACAACTGAACTTTTACAATAAAGTTGTGCTTGGTTGTAAAAAATTAATAAATGCAAACAAACTGAGGGGTACTGAACAACATATATTGCTGCCCTTACAGATGGACACAGGTACGATGAGATACACAGCACATCACAGCTCATGACAGCACACCTGGTGAGGGGTCACAGAGAGAGAGCACAGGCACAGAGCAAGAAGCAGTACCTCCTGTTGGGGGCGTGGGGTGGCCAGATCCTGGTCCGACTGGGGGAGGGGGGCGGGGAGAGTGGAGCAGAGGCACGGTGGAAGAGGTGGGGTGGGGGTGGGGCACGTGCAGAGACAAAGAGGTAGAGTACCGCAGGTGAGTCAAGAAGGCAGGCGACTACACATACACACACACACACAGAGAGGTCGTGTTGGTAGCATCCAAGCATCTCACTGAGACAGTGAGTTTGTTCGGCAATGGAAACATCTAGCATTCGGAAACAGATGTACAGAGAGATGTAGACTGGTGAATTACATAAATACTGTAACTAAGATATTTGGAGGAAGGACTCAGAGTCTCGTGCTCCAAACATTCTGTGCAATGACAAAGTGTTGTATTATGGAGATGAATGTAAATCAAACATACAGTAGTTGTGGTTCTACACCATCTGTTCAAGCTCAGCTAATCCTTCTAATGACAATGTACACATTAAAATTGTAATGCACCCATTATTGAACACAGCTGGCCACTCAGATGCACTGAAATTAATTCCTAATGTAGACATATTACAAACACTGACCAAACACAGTCTAAATACCTTGATAGTACCCAGACTTCATATTGCCATTAGCCTACCCTATACTACTACGGTGATCCAATTTGAAGTCAGGTGATGTGATTTAGGCTGTGCCCAAAGCCAAGGGATCTAAGAAAGCCATGACTGTACTGTCAATGAGGAATAACACTTGGAGTAATAACCTAGCTACAAGACGGAACAGGCTGAATAAAGATTTAAACAACACTAAAACCCAGAATGGACAGACAAACAGACATACAGAAAGACAGACACTACTCATCACAGACAAAGTACCTCAGGCTTTGAGTCTACTGGCGAGCCTGCCTCCTCACCCTGCAAGCGAAGGAGGTGGGAAGAGAGAAGTGGTTGGTTAGTGGGTCGCAGGAAGCCACAGCAGGAAGAGGAGAGGGGAATTTTAAGAGAGTGAAGGGCGCAGAGTTAAAACGGGGTGAGGGGAAAGAGAGAGCATGTTAGATTTGAAGAGGAGATTCAGGAAAGTTCCACAGAGAGGTTTCTTGGGTGAGGAGCGGAAGGGAGGGAAGAGAAGAGGAGCCGAGGAGAGAGGGAATATGGATTAGAGTGTAAAGTGAAGGCAGGAGAGAGGGAATATGGATTAGAGTGTAAAGTGAAGGCAGGAGAGAGAGATGAGTGGAAGTCAGGGGCTCACATGATGGATTTTCTCACTGTGCTACAGGTTAGGTATACTGAAACAGCAAGGGGAGGGATATGAGTAAAATGTATCGTTCTTCTCTGTATCTTATGCATATCATTTAGAAAAACTAGTTAGGTATTAGATACATTTGGTAAATAACCACAATTCCAACAAACCTGAATTTAACTTACTAACCAAAGGTCTTTTTTTACCAGGTTCTTTTGTTTTCAATCATATTAATAGTGTTACAATAATAAAACGGATGCCTCTTCCAGATAGCTTAACAACCGAAGCTTCTGAGCATGTGTGGGATTCTCTACTTTACAATTAGTTTTACGTATCTGCTGCTCCCACCGCTGCTGCTTCCCCCTCCTGTGTGTGTGTGTGTGTGTGTGAAATTGGGAGTTAGCTAAGTGTTCAGGATTCATTTAGTTTAGATAATTTCAATGCCATACTTGTATATTTTCGGTGAAAAATCACTACAACCAAGCAACCACTGTCACCTGTGCTTTAGCTGTCAACTTGAGAAATTGGCAATAATACTTCCCTCGCTAAAACGTTAACAAAACTGCCGGACATTGTATCCCGGTGTTGTGAAACACAGACTTGCCTTGCATGCTCTCCCCACTGAATAGAATGTATCCCTGTAACATCCAGATGGTTACCAATACTATAATATTTCTCATGAAGGCTGCTATCCTACTTGAAAGAAAACATTTGGTCACGACACTACCACTGGCGATACCGTCTCTGATCCTGTCTCAGCTCGCATGTCTCACAGTGTCTGTAACACATGCGCAGAATGTGATTAGGTTGTTTAGCTCTGGGGAAGAGGTGTCCGATTCAGCCATAATAAAAAGGGGGATCTAACAATACATACATGTTAGGTAGAAAGCTAGACTTACACTCACCGTCATGTGAATTTGGACAGTGAACCACATTGGCTCTATATACAGTGAGGGAAAAAAGTATTTGATCCCCTGCTGATTTTGTACATTTGCCCACTGACAAAGACATGATCAGTCTATAATTTTTATGGTAGGTTTATTTGAACAGTGAGAGACAGAAAAACAACAAAAAAATCCAGAAAAACGCATGTAAAAAATTTTATGAATTGATTTGCATTTTAATGAGGGAAATAAGTATTTGACTAAAACATGATTTAGTACTTGGTGGTAAAACCCTTGTTGGCAATCACAGAGGTCAGATGTTTCCTTGTAGTTGGCCACCAGGTTTGCACACATCTCAGGAGGGATTTTGTCCCACTCCTCTTTGCTGATCTTCTCCAAGTCATTAAGGTTTCGAGCCTGACGTTTGGCAACTCGAACCTTCAGCTCCCTCCGCAGATTTTCTATGGGATTAAGATCTGGAGACTGGCTAGGCCACTCCTGGACCTTAACGTGCTTCTTCTTGAGCCACTCCTTTGTTGCCTTGGCCGTGTGTTTTGGGTCATTGTCATGCTGGAATACCCATCCACGACCCATTTTCAATGCCCTGGCTGAGGGAAGGAGGTTCTCACCCAAGATTTGACGGTACATGGCCACGTCCATCGTCCCTTTGATGCGGTGAAGTTGTCCTGTCCCCTTAGCAGAAAAACACCCCCAAAGCATAATGTTTCCACCTCCATGTTTGACGGTGGGGATGGTGTTCTTGGGGTCATATGCAGCATTCCTCCTCCTCCAAACACGGCGAGTTGAGTTGATGCCAAAGAGCTCAATTTTGGTCTCATCTGACCACAACACTTTCACCCAGTTCTCCTCTGAATCATTCAGATGTTCATTGGCAAACTTCAGACGGCCCTGTATATGTGCTTTCTTGAGCAGGGGGACCTTGCGGGCGCTGCAGGATTTCAGTCCTTCAAGGCGTAGTGTGTTACCAATTGTTTTCTTGGTGACTATGGTCCTAGCTGCCTTGAGATCATTGACAAGATCCTCCCGTGTAGTTCTGGGCTGATTCCTCACCGTTCTCATGACCATTGAAACTCCACGAGGTGAGATCTTGCATGGTGTCCCAGGCCGAGGGAGATTGACAGTTATTTTGTGTTTCTTCCATTTGCGAATAATCGCACCAACTGTTGTCACCTTCTCACCAAGCTGCTTGGCGATGGTCTTGTAGCCCATTCCAGCCTTGTGTAGGTCTACAATCTTGTCCCTGACATCCTTGGAGAGCTCTTTAGTCTTGGCCATGGTGGAGAGTTTGGAATCTGATTGATTGATTGCTTCTGTGGACAGGTGTCTTTTATACAGGTAACAAGCTGAGATTAGGAGCACTCCCTTTAAGAGTGTACTCCTAATCTCAGCTCGTTACCTGTATAAAAGACACCTGGGAGCCAGAAATCTTTCTCATTGAGAGGGGGTCAAATACTTATTTCCCTCAATAAAATGCAAATCAATTTATAACGTTTTTGACATGTGTTTTTCTGGATTTTTTTGTTGTTATTCTATCTCTCACTGTTCAAATAAACCTAGCATTAAAATTATAGACTGATCATTTCTTTGTCAGTGGGCAAACTTACAAAATCAGCAGGGGATCAAATACTTTTTTCCCTCACTGTATGGGGTGGGCAAACTACATCCTGTGTTGTTTGACAAACAAATCGGTTAAAAGAAGATGTGTGCGGCCCTCCGTTGAATTTCGAAATCCCGATGTGGCCATTGAGCCAAAAGGTTTGCCCACCCCTGATTTATATTCCAGCATTTTGGATTTGAGATCGAATATTTCATAAGAGGCGACAGTACATAATGTCATCTTTTATTTGAGGGTATTTTCATTATCAGTTTTACCATTTAGAAATTAAAGCACCTAATGGCCGTGTCCGAAATCTGTCTTGCCTACTACTTACTTAAACTACATACTATCGCGCTTGTTCCCCGGCCATTCGTTCATTTTTGTAGAGCGAGTCACCTATTCTGATTATCAGCTGTTGTCAAACACACGTGGGTGTGAAAAGACAATTATCTTCCTTTGTGCAGCGATTTCTACTAGTTGAAAAGCAGAAATTTCACATTCTATAAAACGTATAAACTATAAAACGATTTTCGCATTCGGACACGGCCTATGTATCTAGTCCCCCCATTTGAAGAAGTCTTAAGTATTCGGACAAATTCACTTATAGTGTATTAAGTCAAAAGTGTAGTATTTGGTCACATATTCCTATAATAATAATAACTTACAGTCATGCGTGCATACATTTTTGTGTATGGGTGGTCCCGGGGATCGAACCCACTACCTTGGCGTTAGAAGCGCCGTGCTCTACCAGCTGCGCTACAGAGGACCACAGCATGCTATGACTACAACTACATTCACAGTTTATTTTGTTTGTGCTTTGGGTTATGTTTTGCCCAATAGGAACTGAATGGTGAATGATGACTGGAGTAATTTTATTTCTTAGTGAGTAGATAAGATTTTTCTGAACACTTCTAAATTAATCCTGATAATGCCATGATTAAGAAAAAATAATGAATGAATCATGATGAGTGAGAAGGCTACAGAGGCTACAACAAAACATGCTAATCTCTCACCATTACTGATAACAGAGGAGGTTAGCATTTTTTGGGGGGGATATGATCTTTGTGCCTCTGTAACTTTCTCACTCATCATTATTCACGATTCATCCATAATCATGGTAGCATCCACATTAATGAAGAAGTGTTCAGAAACATCTATTCTTACTTACAATACACGTGACTCCAAAATGATACAATATATTATTCACCATTCAGTTCCTATTGGGCAAAATATAATCTGAAACACAACCAAAACAAACTGCAAATACATCCAACAAGTTTGTAGAGTCATGAGCTTGATGTAGTCATTGAGTGCAAGGAATATGGGACCAAATAGTACTAAACGTTTGACTACTTTAATACACTGTGAATTTGTCCAAATACTTACTTACAAAATGGCAGAAAACTATCCTTTATCCTTTCACCTGTGATCAGTGATCCTCATGACGAAGAGGACTCAAGAAAAAAGGGAGCCATCATCTACTATGAATATAGGGTCCGCCACCCTTGCCTCGCCTTGTACCTTCAGCTCCATGGTCTTGGTGGACGTGGCAACACCATCAGTCTCCTCATCCTGATCCTGATACTCCTGGTCTTGTTCCTGGTAATCCTGATCCTGGTCTAGGTCCAGACTACCCTCTTGTTCCAGGTCTTCCCTGGACAGGAATTGGGTGTGATCACTGGAGCTGCGCTGGGACAGCTGGTCCATGCTGTCTCCCAGGGCTGAGGCTGGGCAGGGAGTTGGGGGTAGGGGGCAGGGCACACAAGGGATGTCGGAGAGAAGAGAGAAAAGCTAGTCAGCCCTGGCTCACAGAAAACAAGAGAAAGGTCAACGTTGTCTATACTGTAAATTATGATTGATCGAGATTATACAATTTGTTTACATTGACATCCATTTTACATGTAAGTATTTATCTCCTTACAGTTGAGGCAGGGTAAACTGATTCAGGAGTCAGAACATAGATTATGGCCAGGAGTGATTCAAAGGTGCGTTGATAGCCATGGGAAGATGTTTGGGGGGGGGGGGGGGGGGGGGTGCTTCCTGAATTACTTAAAACTGTCAAACTGACCCATCAAAAGTTGGTAGGCGGAACCTAACGCCTGATTGGTTACCCTCTGCATCAAGCCAAGACAAATCAATTCCGGATAATGTCAGCAGGTCCTGCTTCTACATCCTCTGCTAAGTTTAAAATGTCTCTAACCAACTCCCTGGAAAGTTCACGGAGATCCTCCATTGTCTCTATCCAGGTTGGCCTACTCTACTTCAGACCAAAGCAATGGATCAGACTAGATTCGCGTTAGCCCCGCCCACTGACTTTGATGGGTCAGTTTGACAGTTTTAAGTAATTCATGAATCACTGCAATGCAGGATCATGAAATGTAAATGTAAATAGTGAAATAATTATATATGTATTTTACATAAAATGAATCGGTATTTGAATTAATTAATGATACATTTAATTACACATTTATGTATTTAATTCTAATTTGAATTAATTAATGACACATTTAAGTAATTATTTAATGGTGTATTTATCATGCGCTACATCGGTCCGCTAATTTTAATTTTTTTATTTCACCTTTATTTAACCAGTTAAGCCAGTTGAGAACAAGTTCTCATTTACAACTGCGACCTGGCCAAGATAAAGCAAAGCAGTGCGATAAAAACAACAACAACACAGAGTTACATATGGGATAAACACAACGTACAGTCAATAACACAATATAAAATCTATATACAGTGTGTGCAAATGTAATAAGTTATGGAGGTAAGGCAATAAATAGGCCATAGTGCAAAATAATTACAATTTAGTATTAACACTGGAATGATAGATATGCAGAAGATGATGTGCAAATAGAGATACTGGGGTGCAAATGAGCAAAATAAATAACAATATGGGGATGAGGTAGTTGGGCGGGCGGGTGCAAGCACCGTTCAATTGAAGAGCATGCATTTAGTTTTACTAGCGTTTAAGAGCAGTTGGAGGCTACGGAAGGAGTGCTGTATGGCATTGAAGCTCGTTTGGAGGTATGTTAACAAAGTGTCCAATGAAGGGCAAGATGTATACAAAATGGTGTCGTCTGCGTAGAGGTGGATCTGAGAGTCACCAGCAGCAAGAGCGACATCATTGATATACACAGAGAATAGAGTCGGCCCGAGAATTGAACCCTGTGGCACCCCCATAGAGACTGCCAGAGGTCCAGACAACAGGCCCTCTGATTTGACACATGGAACTCTATCTGAGAAGTAGTTGGTGAACCAGGCGAGGCAGTCATTTGAGAAACCAAGGCTATTTAGTCTGCCAATAAGAATGCGGTGATTGATGGAGTCGAAAGCCTTGGCCAGGTCGATGAAGACGGCTGCACAGTACTGTCTTTTATCGATCGCGGTTATAATATCGTTTAGGACCTTGAGCGTGGCTGAGGTGCACCCATGACCAGCTCGGAAACCAGATTGCATAGCGGAGAAGGTACGGTGGGATTCGAAATAGTCGGTGATCTGTTTGTTAACTTGGCTTTCAAATACTTTCGAAAGGCAGGGCAGGATGGATATAGGTCTGTAACAGTTTGGATCTAGAGTGCCACCCCCTTTGAAGAGGGGGATGACCGCGGCAGCTTTCCAATCTCTGGGGATCTCAGACGATACGAAATACAGTTTGAACAGGCTGGTAACAGGGGTTGCGACAATTTTGGCGGCTAATTTTAGAAAGAAAGGGTCCAGATTGTCTAGCCCAGCTGATATGTAGAGGTCCAGATTTTGCAGCTCTTTCAGAACATCAGCTATCTGAATTTAGATGAAGGAGAAGCGGGGGGGGCATGGGCAAGTTGCAGCGGAGGGTGCATAGCTGGTGGCCGGGGTAGGGGTAGCCAGGTGGAAAGCATGGCCAGCCATAGCAAAATGCTTGTTGAAATGTTCGATTATCGTAGATTTATCGGTAGTGACAGTGATTCCTAGCCTCAGTGCAATGGGCAGCTGGGAGGTGCTTTTATTCTCCATGGACTTTACAGTGTCCCAAAACATTTTGGAGTTTCTGTTTGAAGAAGCTAGCCTTTGCTTTCCTAACTGATTGTGTATATTGGTTCATGACTTCCCTGAAAAGTTGCATATCGCGGGGGCTGTTCGATGCTAATGCAGTACGCCATAGGATGTTTTTGTGCTGGTCAAGGGCAGTCAAGTCTGGGGTGAACCAGGGGCTATATCTGTTCTTAGTTCTGTATTTTTTGAATGGGGCATGCTTATTTAAGATGGAGAGAAAAGCACTTTTAAAGAACAACCAGGCTTCCTCTACGGAGGAAATGAGGTCAATATCCATCCAGGAGACCCGGGCCAGGTCAATTAGAAAGGCCTGCTCGCTGAAGTGTTTTAGGGAGCGTTTGACAGTGAGAGACATTTCTGGAAAGGTGGATTTTTAGAAGTAGAAGCTCAAACTGTTTGGGCACAGACCTGGATAGTATGATAGAGCTCTGCAGGCTATCTCTACAGTAGATTGCAACTCTGCCCCCTTTGGCAGTTCTATCTAGACGAAAAATGTTGTAGTTGGGAATGGACATTTCTGAATCTTTGGTGGCCTTCCTAAGCCAGGATACAGACACTGTTAGAACATCAGGGTTGGCGGAGTGTGCTAACGCAGTGAATAACTCAAACTTAGGGAGGAGGATTCTGATGTTAACATGCAAGAAACCAAGGCTTTTGCGGTTACAGAAGTCAACAAATGATAGCGCCTGGGGAGTAGGAGTGATACTGGGGGCTACAGGGCCTGGGTTAACCTCTACATCACCAGAGGAACAGAGGAGGAATAGAATAAGGATACGGCTAAAGGCTTTAAGAACTGGTCTTCTCGTGCGTTGGGTACAGAGAATAAAAGGGGCAGATTTCCGGCCGTTGTAGAATAGATTCAGGGCATTATGTACAGACAAGGATATGGAAGGATATGAGTACAGTGTTGGGTAACGATGAAAGAGATAGCATCACTGGAGGCACCGATTGAGCCGGTCTCCGCGTGTGTGGGGGGTGGGACAAAGGAGCTATCTGAGGCAGGTTGAGCGGGATTGGGGGCTCTACAGTGAAATAGTACAATAAGAACTAACCGAAACAGCAATAGGCAAGGCATATTGACATGGGAGAGAGGCATAAAGCAATCACAGGTGTTATTTGAGAGAGCTAAGACAACAGCTGGTAATGGCGACGAAAGTTTGAGCTGAGGCTAAACAGATAAACAGGATGAGGTACCATATAAAGGAACAGTCCAGCAGGCATCAGCTGTGTAGCTGAGTGATCATAAGGTCCAGTGAACAGCAATAGGTGAGTCTGGGATCAGTTCAGTAGCTGCTACGGCACAGGCGAGCAGGAGGCACGGCTGTTGATTGCGTGTGCTAGCGGGCCGGGGCTAGCAGATGGATCTTCGTGGACGTCGCAACGGGAAGCTTGTTGAAACCACATCAGACGATTACGTCAGCAGACCAGTCGTGATGGATCGGCGGGGCTCCGTGTCAACACTAGGAGGTCCCGTCCGGTTGACAGAGAGGTAGATAGCCGGGAGATGGGCCTGGCTCGAGGCTAGCTCAAGGCTAACTGGGGCTTGCTTCGGGACAGTGGTGATTAGCCATCAACAACAACAGCCATTCGGTTGCAGCTAGCTAGTTGCGATGATCCGGTGTTAAGGTCCAGTGATTCAGTGATTCCGGCAGAAAATCCGATATGCTCTGGCTCGATAGCGCGATGTGCAGACTGGCCGATAATTGTCCAGGCTAGAGCTGGCTGGTAGGTAGTGCAGGCCACGGACAATGGTGAAGACCGCTAATGGTGGCTAATAGCAAGTAGCTAGTTAGCTGGCTAGTTTCAGCCGGAGGTTCTAGATAAGAAGGTATAAAGAAATAATAGAATCCGTTCCACATTGGGTGAGGCGGGTTGCAGGAAAGTATATTTAGTTAAAGGATGGAAAGTGAGATTGAGAAATATATACGAAAAAGACCAAAAAACAAAAAAACTGGCTATTTACATGAGGACACTACAGAAAACACGACCGCACTGCTACGCCATCTTGGCAGCTTTTTCAAGATACAGGACTTGTAAAAGCCCAGTGCACTACGTTTGTGAATATATATTTTTAATTCCGATTTTTTAGGGGGTGCTGCAGCAGCCTCAGAGCCCCTACTTCCCACGGCTATGGGTGTGTTGCAGCTCTGGGTTCTACCTGGAACCAAAAAGGGTTCTCCTATGGGGACAGCCGAAGAACTCTTTTGGAGACCTTTTTTCTAAGAGGGTACTGATGCAATGTACTGATGCAACGTACTGATGCAAATTTGAAATAACAATGAATAAACAAGGACCTACCTGACAAAGAGGCATACATTTTTTTTTTTTTACAGAGTGGGCCAATATTCTAAGTGGTGAGTTTGTAGTACATACTCATGATGTTATAGTACAGTAATAGTAAGGGGCTTACCTCCGTCCACACTGCGGGGCAGCAGGTACCTCTTGCTAACCGAACGGTCAAACTGCGGAGCTGGCCGGTCGATCAGCACACTGGCCTGACGCGACTGGGCTTGTGTCCGCCCACTATAGCGGAATTTGGAGCCAATCACCAGGAAGCCCTTGGGAGGGGGTTCTGGAGACACTAACCTATAGAGAGACTCGGTATGAGTATGAAGCTTTAAATAGCTAGACACTATAATGTTTGTATTTTTTATTACCCATTAACACTAGATGTGCCGAGATCGTCCTTATGAATTTACATGTTTAATTACTCTGCCATTTTTAAAATCATATCCTCTCCGTCCTTGACTTTTCCAAAATAAGTCTACATAACACACAGAATTTGTGTTACAAGCAGTTTTATTTCTGTACATGTGTCTGGTTTAGTTGTAGTTATACACAGTACAAGTCAAAAGTTTGGACACACCTACTCATTCAAGGGTTTTTCTTTATTTTTTACAATTTTCTACATTGTAGAATAATAGTGAAGACATCAAAACTATGAAATAACACATATGGAATCATGTAGTAACCAAAAAAGTGTTAAACAAATCAAAATATATTTGAGATTTTAGAATCTTCAAAGTAGCCACCCTTTGCCTTGATGATATCTTTGCACACTCTTGGCATTCTATCAACCAGCTTCATGAGGTAGTCACCTGGAATGCATTTCAATTAACAGGTGTGCCTTGTTAAAAGTTAATTTGTGGAATTTATTTTCTTCTTAATGCGTGTGAGCCAATCAGTTGTGTTGTGAAAAGGTAGGGGTGGTATACAGAAGATAGCCCTATTTGGTCAAATACCAAGTCCATATTATGGCAACAACAGCTCAAATAAGCAAAGAGAAACGACAGTCCATCATTACTTTAAGACATGAAGGTCAGTCAATACGGAACATTTCAAGAACTTTGAAAGTTTCGTCAAGTGCAGTCGCAAAAACCATCAAGCGCTATGATGAAACTGTCTCTCATGAGGACCGCCACAGCAAAGGAAGACCCAAAGTTACCTTTGCTGCAGAGGATAAGTTAATTAGAGTTACCAACCTCAGAAATTGCAGCCCAAATAAATGATTCACAGAGTTCAAGTAACAGACACAACTCAACATCAACTGTTCAGAGGAGACGGCATTAATCAGGCCTTCATGGTCGACTTTCTGCAAAGAAACCACTACTAAAGGACACCAATAAGAAGAAGAGACTTCCTTGGGCCAAGAAACACGAGCAATGGACATTAGACCGGTGGAAATCTGTCCTTTGGTCTGATGAGTCTAAATTTGAGATTTTGGGTTTCAACCGCTGTGTCTTTGTGAGACGCAGAGTAGGTGAACAGATGATCTCCGCATGTGTGGGTCCCACTATGAAGCATGGAGAAGGAGGTGTGATGGTGTGGGGGTGCTTTGCTGGTGACACTGTCAGTGATTTATTTAGAATTCAAGGCACACTTAACCAGCATGGCTACCACAGCATTCTGCAGCGATACACCATCCCATCTGGTTTGCACTTAGTGGGACTATCATTTGTTTTTCAACAGGACAATGACCCCAAACACACCTCCAGGCTGTGTAAGGGCTATTTGACCAAGAAGGAGAGTGATGGAGTGCTGCTTTCACGACTTCCTCCGAAGCTGCCTCCTCTCCTGGTTCGGGCAGGCTTCGGCGTTCGTCGTCACCGGCCTTCTAGCCACTGCCACTCCTCATCTCATCATTCCATTTGTTTTGTCTTGTCTATTTCACACACCTGGTTCGTATCCCCTCATTAGTACGTGTATACAGTGGGGGGAAAAAAGTATTTAGTCAGCCACCAATTGTGCAAGTTCTCCCACTTAAAAAGATGAGAGAGGCCTGTTATTGTCAACTATGACAGACAAATTGAGGAAAAAAAATCCAGAAAATCACATTGTAGGATTTTTAATGAATTTATTTGCAAATTATGGTGGAAAATAAGTATTTGGTCACCTACAAATAAGCAAGATTTCTGGCTCTCACAGACCTGTAACTTCTTCTTTAAGAGGCTCCTCTGTCCTCCACTCGTTACCTGTATTAATGGCACCTGTTTGAACTTGTTATCAGTATAAAAGACACCTGTCCACAACCTCAAACAGTCACACTCCAAACTCCACTATGGCCAAGACCAAAGAGCTGTCAAAGGACACCAGAAACAAAATTGTAGACCTGCACCAGGCTGGGAAGACTGAATCTGCAATAGGTAAGCAGCTTGGTTTAAAGAAATCAACTGTGGGAGCAATTATTAGGAAATGGAAGACATACAAGACCACTGATAATCTCCCTCGATCTGGGGCTCCACGCAAGATCTCACCCCGTGGGGTCAAAATGATCACAAGAACGGTGAGCAAAAATCCCAGAACCACACGGGGGGACCTAGTGAATGACCTGCAGAGAGCTGGGACCAAAGTAACAAAGCCTACCATCAGTAACACACTACGCCGCCAGGGACTCAAATCCTGCAGTGCAAGACGTGTCCCCCTGCTTAAGCCAGTACATGTCCAGGCTCGTCTGAAGTTTGCTAGAGTGCATTTGGATGATCCAGAAGAGGATTGGGAGAATGTCATATGGTCAGATGAAACCAAAATATAACTTTTTGGTAAAAACTCAACTCGTCGTGTTTGGAGGACAAAGAATGCTGAGTTGCATCCAAAGAACACCATACCTACTGTGAAGCATGGGGGTGGAAACATCATGCTTTGGGGCTGTTTTTCTGCAAAGGGACCAGGACGACTGATCCGTGTAAAGGAAAGAATGAATGGGGCCATGTATCGTGAGATTTTGAGTGAAAACCTCCTTCCATCAGCAAGGGCATTGAAGATGAAACGTGGCTGGGTCTTTCAGCATGACAATGATCCCAAACACACCTCCCGGGCAACGAAGGAGTGGCTTCGTAAGAAGCATTTCAAGGTCCTGGAGTGGCCTAGCCAGTCTCCAGATCTCAACCCCATAGCGGTGACCCGATCCTGTAGGTTCATGCTCTACAACATTCGGAGAGTACGACCCTGCCTTACACAGGAAGCGGCACAGGTCCTAATCCAGGCACTTGTCATCTCCCGTCTGGATTACTGCAACTCGCTGTTGGCTGGGCTCCCTGCCTGTGCCATTAAACCCCTACAACTCATCCAGAATGCCGCAGCCCGTCTGGTGTTCAACCTTCCCAAGTTCTCTCACGTCACCCCGCTCCTCCGCACACTCCACTGGCTTCCAGTTGAAGCTTGCATCTGTTACAAGACCATGGTGCTTGCCTATGGAGCTGTGAGGGGAACGGCACCTCCGTTCCTTCAGGCTCTGATCAGTCCCTACACCCAAACGAGGGCATTGCGTTCATCCACCTCTGGCCTGCTGGCTCCCCTTCCTCTGCGGAAGCATAGTTCCCGCTCAGCCCAGTCAAAACTGTTCGCTGCTCTGGCACCCCAATGGTGGAACAAGCTCCCTCACGACGCCAGGACAGCGGAGTCACTCACCACCTTCCGGAGACATTTGAAACCCCACCTCTTTAAGGAATACCTGGGATAGGATAAAGTAATCCTTTTAACCCCCCCCCCCAAAAAAAAGTGGTTGAAAAACGAGTTTTAATGACTCCAACCTAAGTGTATGTAAACTTCCGACTTCAACTGTACATCCCGGGTACGAAGAACGTGAAGGCAGACGCACTGTCACGGCTGTACGACATAGAGGAAAGGCCCAGAGACAACATCCCCATACTCCCTCCTCCTGCATTGTGGCGCCGGTAGTATGGGTGATGGACGCGGATATAGAGCAGGCGTTACGCACAGAGCCATCTCCACCTCAGGGTCCAGCTGGGCTGCAGTACATGCCTGCTCTTGTCCGTGACCGTCTGATCTACTGGGCACACACGTCCCCCTCCTCTTGTCACCCAGGTATCGGTCGTACAGTGCGCTGCCTGACCGGAAAGTACTGGTGGCCAACCTTGGCTAAGGACGTGAGGGTGTATGTCTCCTCCTGCTCGGTGTGCGCTCAGAGAAAGGCACCTAGGCACCTCCCAGTGGGTAAGTTACAGCCTTTACCAGTTCCACAACGGTCATGGTCTCACCTGAGTATTGATTTCCTTACTGATCTTCCCCTCTCTCAAGGTAACACCACCATCCTGGTCATTGTGGACCGCTTTTCCAAAGCCTGCCGCCTCCTTCCTCTGCCCGGTCTCCCCACGGCCCTGCAGACTGCGGAGGCCCTGTTTACACACGTCTTCCGGCACTACGGGGTACCAGAGGACATAGTGTCTAACCGGGGTCCCCAATTCACATCCAAGGTCTGGAAGGCGTTCATGGACCGTCTGGGGGACTCGGTCAGCCTGACCTACTTCCAGGACCGGCCGGGGGAGTGGTCAGTGTTCTTGCCATGGGCCGAATATGACCAAAACTCTCTCCGTCACTCCTCCACTAACCTAACGCCATTCCAATGTGTTTTAGGCTACCAACCGGTTCTGGCACCGTGGCACCAGAGCCAGACCGAGGCTCCTGCGGTGGATGACTGGTTTCGGCGCGCGGAGGAGACATGGAACGCTGCTCACGTCCACCTCCAACGCGCAGTACGTCGTCAGAAGGCCAACCGCCACCGCAGTGAGGCCCCGGTCTTCGTACTGGGTGATCGGGTCTGGCTATCGACCCGGAATCTGCCCCTCCGCCGGTCCTGCCGGAAGCTGAGCTGAGTTTGTGGGGCTGTTCAAAGTCCTGAGGAGGATAAACGAGGTTACCTATAGGTTTTTACTCCCACATGATTATCGTATTAACCCCTCGTTCCATGTGTCTCACCTCAGGCCGGTGGTGGCTGGTCCACTCCAGGAGTCTGAGGTGCGGGAGGTCCCTCCACCTCCTCTGGACATCGAGGGGGCCCCGGCGTACTCCGTCTGTTCCATCCTGGATTCGAGGCGTCGGGTGGGGGCTTTCAGTACTTCGTGGAGTGGGAGGGGTACGGTCCGGAGGAACGGTGCTGCGTCCCAGTGAGGGATCTCCTCGACCCCTCCCTGTTGAGGGATTACCACAGTCACCATCCGGCTCGCCCTGCTCCGCGTCCTTCTGGCCATCCCCGAGGCCGGTGTCGGCGCACTGCTGGAGCTGCGCGTCAAGTGGGGGGTACTGTCACGACTTCCTCCGAAGCTGCCTCCACTCCTGGTTCTGGCAGGCTTTGGCGTTCATCGTCACCGGCCTTCTAGCCACTGCCACTCCTCATCTCATCATTCCATTTGTTTTGTCTTGTCTATTACACACACCTGGTTCATATCCCCTCATTAGTATGTGTATAAGTGTTCCTCTGCCCCCTTGTCCTTGTGGGTGATTGATTAGTGTGTGGAGAGTGGAGCTCGGTTGAGCTCTGTGTATTTTGTATTGCCGGGGTATATTTTCCCCGTGTGCCTGTTTGGTTCCAGTGCGCCTGTTTTGTGCACTGGACTGTTTGACGCATTTCTGCATAACATTGTATTTCGGAATAAACTCTGTATTCTGTGATTTACCCTCCTGCGCCTGACTCCTTCAAATCACACATCACAGCTGCATCAGATGACCTGGCCTCCCCAATCACCCAATCTCAACCCAATTGAGATGGTTTGGGATGAGTTGGACCGCAGAGTGAAGGAAAAGCAGCCAACAAGTGCTCAGCATATGTGGGAACTCCTTCAAGACTGTTGGAAAAGCATTCATCATGAAACTGGTTGAGAGAATGCCAAGAGTGTGCAAAGCTGTCAACAAGGCAAAGGGTGGCTACTTTTAAGAATCTAAAATATCAAATATATTTTGATTTCTTTAACACTTTTTTGGTTACTACATGTTTCCATATGTGTTATTTCATAGTTTGGATGTCTTCACTATTATTTTACAATGTAGGAAATAATACAAATAAAGAAAAACCCTTGAATGAGTAGGTGTCCAAACTTTTGACTGGTACTGTATATGTACAGTGGGGAGAACAAGTATTTGATACACTGCCGATTTCGTAGGTCCAGAATCCAGAAAATCACATTGTATGATTTTTAAGTAATTAATTTGCATTTTATTGCATGACATAAGTATTTGATACATAAGAAAAGCAGAACTTAATATTTGGTACAGAAAACTTTGTTTGCAATTACAGAGATCATACGTTTCCTGTAGGTCTTGACCAGGTTTGCACACTGCAGCAGGGATTTTGGCCCACTCCTCCATACAGACCTTCTCCAGATCCTTCAGGTTTCGGGGCTGTCGCTGGGCAATACGGACTTTCAGCTCCCTCCAAAGATTTTCTATTGGGTTCAGGTCTGGAGACTGGCTAGGCCACTCCAGGACCTTGAGATGCTTCTTATGGAGCCACTCCTTAGTTGCCCTGGCTGTGTGTTTCGGGTTGTTGTCATGCTGGAAGACCCAGCCACGACCCATCTTCAATGCTCTTACTGAGGGAAGGAGGTTGTTGGCCAAGATATCGTGATACATGGCCCCATCCATCCTCCCCTCAATATGGTGCAGTCGTCCTGTCCCCTTTGCAGAAAAGCATCCCCAAAGAATGATGTTTCCACCTCCATGCTTCACGGTTGGGATGGTGTTCTTGGGGTTGTACTCATCCTTCTTCTTCCTCCAAACACGGCGAGTGGTGTTTAGACCTTCTCCAATTCCTCCTCTGGATCATCCAGATGGTCATTGGCAAACTTCAGACGGGCCTGGACATGCGCTGGCTTGAGCAGGGGGACCTTGCGTGCGCTGCAGGATTTTAATCCATGACGGCGTAGTGTGTTACTAATGGTTTTCTTTGAGACTGTGGTCCCAGCTCTCTTCAGGTCATTGACCAGGTCCTGCCGTGTAGTTCTGGGCTGATCCCTCACCTTCCTCATGATCATTGATGCCCCACGAGGTGAGATCTTGCATGGAGCCCCAGACCGAGGGTGATTGACCGTCATCTTGAACTTCTTCCATTTTCTAATAATTGTGCCAACAGTTGTTGCCTTCTCACCAAGCTGCTTGCCTATTGTCCTGTAGCCCATCCCAGCCTTGTGCAAGTCTACAATTTTATCCCTGATGTCCTTCAGGGATAAAATTGTAGACTTGCACAAGGCTGGGACTTGCACAAGGCTCCACAATGGCTCTCTGGTCTTGGCCATTGTGGAGAGGTTGGAGTCCGTTTGATTGAGTGTGTGGACAGGTGTCTTTTATACAGGTAACGAGTTCAAACAGGTGCAGTTAATACAGGTAATGAGTGGAGAACAGGAGGGCTTCTTAAAGAAAAACTAACAGGTCTGTGAGAGCCGGAATTCTTACTTTATTATTATATTATTTATTATATTATTATTACTGGTTGGTAGGTGATCAAATACTTATGTCATGCAATAAAATGCAAATTAATTACTTAAAAATCATACAATGTGATTTTCTGGATTTTTGTTTTAGATTCCATCTCTCACAGTTGAAGTGTACCTATGATCAAAATTACAGACCTCTACATGCTTTGTAAGTAGGAAAACCTGCAAAATCGACAGTGTATCAAATACTTGTTCTCCCCACTGTATATACACTGAACAAAAATATAAACGCAACATTTTCTAAAATGTTATTGAGTTACAGTTCATATTAGGAAATCAGTAAATTTAAATAAAATCATTAGAACCTAATCTATGGATTTTAGATGACTGGGAATACAGATACAGTGTCTTGCAAAAATATTCATCCCCCTTGGCGTTTTTCCTATTTTGTTGCATTGCAACCTGTAATTTAAATGGATTTTTATTTGGATTTCATGTAATGGACATACACAAAATAGTCCAAATTGGTGAAGTGAAATGAAAAAATAAATAATGGAAAAGTGGTGCGTGCATATGTATTCATCCCTTTTGCTATGAAGCCCCTAAATAAGATCTGGTGCAACCAATTACCTTCAGAAGTCACAAAATTAGTTAAATAAAGTCCACCTATGTGCAAACTAAGTGTCACATGATCTGTCACATGATCTCAGTATATATACACCTGTTGTGAAAGGCCTCAGAGTCTGCAACACCTCTAAGCAAGGGGCACCACCAAGCAAGCGGCACCATGAAGACCAAAGAGCTCTCCAAACAGGTCAGGGACAAAGTTGTGGAGAAGTACAGATCAGGGTTGGGTTGTAAAAAAATATCAGAAACTTTGAACATCCCACGGAGCAGCATTAAATCCATTATTAAAAAATGGAAAGAATATGGCACCACAACAAATCTGCCAAGAGAGGGCCGGCCACCAAAACTCACAGACCAGGCAAGGAGGGCATTAATCAGAGAGACAACAAAGAGACCAAATATAACCCTGAAGGAGCTGCTCCACAGCAGAGATTGGAGTATCTGTCCATAGGACCACTTTAAGCCGAACACTCCACAGAGCTGGGCTTTACGGAAGAGTGGCCAGAAAAAAGGCATTGCTTAAATAAAGAAATAAGCAAACATGTTTCTTGTTCGCCAAAAGGCATGTGGGAGACTCCCCAAACATATGGAAGAAGGTACTCTGGTCAGATGAGACTAAAATTGAGCTTTTTGGCCATCAAGGAAAATGCTATGTCTGGGCAAACCCAACACCTCTCATCACCCGGAGAACACCATCTCCACAGTGAAGCATGGTGGTAGCATCATGCTGTGGGGATGTTTTTCATCGGCAGGGACTGGGAAACCCGTCAGAATTATAGGAATGATGGGTGGCGCTAAATACAGGGAAATTCTTGAGGGAAACCTTCCAGCAGGACAATGACCCTAACCATACTGCTAACGCAACACTTGTGTGGTTTAAGGGGAAACATTTAAATGTCTTTGAATGTCCTAGTCAAAGCCCAGACCTCAATCCAATTGAGAATCTGTGGTATGACTTAAAGATTGCTCTACACCAGCGGAACCCATCCAACTTGAAGGAGCTGGAGCAGTTTTGCCTTGAAGAATGGTCAGTGGCCAGATGTGCCAAGCTTATAGAGACATACCTCAAGAGACTTGCAGCTGTAATTGCTGCAAAAGGTGGCTCTACAAAGTATTGACTTTGGGGGGGGTGAATAGTTTTGCACGCTCAAGTGTTCTGTTTTTTTGTCTTATTTCTTGTTTGTTTCACAAGAAAAAATATTTTGCATCTTCAAAGTGGTAGGCATGTTGTGTAAATCAAATGATACAAACCCCCCCAAAATCAATTTAAATTCCAGGTTGTAAGGCAACAAAATAGGAAATATGCCAAGGAGGGTGTATATTTTCGCAAGCCACTGTATATGAAATGTACTTATTAGACTGTTATAATGTTGGCTTAGGTATGGGAGTATCAAGGCCTGGAATTCCTAGTGTGGAAGAGAGTGTCATACTAGATGGAGCATTGATTTTACAGAGGTAAGAGTGGCTGGTGCTTAGATTAAACGTTGCAGTCTTTTTCCTTGCTGTTTCTTAAAGCTCAACCACACTGTGTGAGGAAGGCCCAAACAATTGTCAAAGACCAGTCACCCAAGTCATATACTGTTCTCTCTGCTACCGCATGGCAAGCGGTACCGGAGCGCCAAGTCTAGGTCCAAAAGGCTCCTTAACAGCTTCTATCCCCAAGCCATAAGACTGCTGAACAATTAATCAAATGGCCACCCGGACTATTTACATTGATCTGTTATTATCTATGCATAGTCCCTTTACCCCTACCTACATGTACAAATTACCTCAACTAACCTGTAGCCCCGCACATTGACCCTGTATATAGCCTTGTTATTGTTATTTTATTGTGTTACTTTTTATTGCATTTTTTACTTCAGTTTATTTAGTAAATCTTTTTTAAACTCTATTTCTTGAACTGCATTGTGGGTTAAGGGACTCTAAGTAAGCATTTCACGGTAAGGTCTACACCTGTTGTTTTTGGCGCTTGTGACCATTATTTAATTTTAATTTTATTGTTGCTGTGCAATGTAGCATGAGCTGTGTGATGCTTAGTGTCTTCAGCTGAGTATGTTTGTGTGGGTGCGGGTACGTGCATGTGTCCCCAGTGAGGGGCAGTTGCCTACCTGAAGAAGGTGTGGTGTTCAATGCAGACCTTCCACAGGCGTTTGGAAGCCCGGTGGTTGGGCAGCTTGAAGCCGATGGTGCTCTCAAACTGTTCATACTGAGGGTGGAGGGGAGGAGTGAGAGATGGGGGAGGAGTGGAGGATAAAAGGAGTGAAGGAGCGTGTGTGTGTGTGTATGTGTGTGGATGTGTGTGTGTGTGTGTGTGTGTGTGTGTGTGTGTGTGTGTGTGTGTGTGTGTGGAACCACCTCACGACCCTTGCTAAAAACAAGGAAATTGCACCCTGCATATTGTACTCTATTCTCTCAACAGTAAGAGTGTGTCATTCAAACACTACACAGCAGTACTGAAAACTGGGCCCATACAGTAATTACACTGTGGGTTTTAGTTATTTTGAACTAGATAGTTGGGAGAAAAGATCTTACACAATCCCTGAATGAAGATATCAGTGTCAGATTAGGGTCTATTCAATCTGTATCGCGGAAGTTCAAGCGTTACAGCGTCATTTAAATTTAAAGGCAATGTTCCGTGTTAACGGAGACTCCATTCACAGTAAATGCTGCATATGTCGGCTCAATCTGAATTTACCTTTACATTTCTAAAAATGCTTCAGAGATACAGATTGAATAGAGTCCTAACATTCTGTAGATACATAGGCCCGTAGAAGGCAGAACACAGAGGAAAACCATTGGTAGATAATCACTTTAGGAGTAGAAAATCAGTGCAAGCAAAATGAGACACTAACACTTCTAGTGAGCAAAATCCCTGATGAAAGCATATCCTCACACGCAGCTCACCATGCTTTAAAGTCCCAATGCTTGGCAACAGAAGAAGAAGACTGTTCCCACTTCCAAGACCACAAAACATGCCATATTTCCCTAATCTTTAAGAATAGTAACTCGACCGCTATAAATAGCCCACATTGAAACATATCATGCCCAATTATTCCGTGGCTCACCGAGTCCCCAGATAAGATTCAAAAGTGACACTTCAATAGAATCTGTTAAATAACACCTACAGTGAGGGAAAAAAGTATTTGATCCCCTGCTGATTTTGTATGTTTGCCCACTGACAAAGACATGATCAGTCTATAATTTTAATGGTAGGTTTATTTGAACAGTGAGAGACAGCATAACAACAAAAAAATCCAGAAAAACGCATGTCAAAAATGTTATAAATTGATTTGCATTTTAATGAGGGAAATAAGTATTTGACCCCTCTGCAAAACATGACTTAGTACTTGGTGGCAAAACCCTTGTTGGCAATCACAGAGGTCAGACATTTATTGTAGTTGGCCACCAGGTTTGCACACATCTCAGGAGGGATTTTGTCCCACTCCTCTTTGCAGATCTTCTCCAAGTCATTAAGGTTTCGAGGCTGACGTTTGGCAACTCAAACCTTCAGCTCCCTCCACAGATTTTATATGGGATTAAGGTCTGGAGACTGGCTAGGCCACTCCAGGACCTTAATGTGCTTCTTCTTGAGCCACTCCTTTGTTGCCTTGGATGTGTGTTTTGGGTCATTGTCATGCTGGAATACCCATCCACGACCCATTTTCAATGCCCTGGCTGAGGGAAGGAGGTTCTCACCCAAGATTTGACGGTATATGGCCCCGTCCATCGTCCCTTTGATGCGGTGAAGATGTCCTGTCCCCTTAGCAGAAAAACACCCCCAAAGCATAATGTTTCCACCTCCATGTTTGACGGTGGGGATGGTGTTCTTGGGGTCATAGGCAGCATTCCTCCTCCTCCAAACACGGCGAGTTGAGTTGATGCCAAAGAGCTCAATTTTGGTCTTATCTGACCACAACACTTTCACACAGTTCTCCTCTGAATCATTCAGATGTTCATTGGCAAACTTCAGACGGCCCTGTATATGTGCTTTCTTGAGCAGGGGGACCTTGCGGGCGCTGCAGGATTTCAGTCCTTCACGGCGTAGTGTGTTACCAATTGTTTTCTTGGTGACTATGGTCCGAGCTGCCTTGAGATCCTTGACAAGATCCTCCCGTGTAGTTCTGGGCTGATTCCTCACCGTTCTCATGATCATTGCAACTCCACGAGGTGAGATCTTGCATGGAGCCCCAGGCCGAGGGAGTTTGACAGTTCTTTTGTGTTTCTTCCATTTGCGAATAATCGCACCAACTGTTGTCACCTTCTCACCAAGCTGCTTGGCGATGGTCTTGTAGCCCATTCCAGCCTTGTGTAGGTCTACAATCTTGTCCCTGACATCCTTGGAGAGCTCTTTGGTCTTGGCCATGGTGGAGGGTTTGGAATCTGATTGATTGATTGCTTCTGTGGACAGGTGTCTTTTATACAGGTAACAAACTGAGATTAGCAGCACTCCCTTTAAGAGTGTGCTCCTAATCTCAGCTCGTTACCTGTATAAAAGACACCTGGGAGCCAGAAATCTTTCTGATTGAGAGGGGGTCAAATACTTATTTCCCTCATTCAAATGCAAATCAATTTATAACATTTTTGACATGCGTGTTTCTGGATTTTTTTGTTGTTATTCTGTCTCTCACTGTTCAAATAAACCTACCATTAAAATTATAGACTGATCATTTCTTTGTTAGTGGGCAAACGTACAAAATCAGCAGGGGATCAAATACTTTTTTCCCTCACTGTAGCATTAAGCTAGCATAGGACAACTGGCACATCAGGTTACAGCAGCCATGCTCGAAATCCTAACTATTGTGAAAGCATGAAACAACTGTAAAGATTGCTATAATGGTTGACCTTTTTTACCATTTCATGCTTTGTGGCACTTAACTGAGTTGTCACAGTTATACAGTTGGCTGCAATTAACTGTTTTAACTGTTTTGTAGAGTTAGTGTTGACTTCGAGTGAAGTGAAGTGTTGTCATGTCAAACAAGATGCATAATGTAGGCTACAAGATAACATAATATGGTTGGACTACCTCCCCGGGGCGTATTTTGATGTAGAAGTTGCTCCTCTTGTAGGAGATTTTGAGGATCTTCGGCCAGGCGAAGCGGTTGATCCTCAGACGGTCACGGTAGATTAGTAGTCCGTTGGCGCTGACGCCAAGCATGATGTCAATGCCCTCCGAATCCTGTCAGAGACAAAGGGTGCAACAGAAGGGAGGGAAGGTTGGGGATTGCAATGAAGGGTGTGTGTCACTCTCTATCATACGGATCCAATCCAGATAGATAAGATTAAGTAATATGATCGCTAGGTTGGAACAGGCTATCAAGTTGACATCTTGTGACTATTATTTTAAAATGACTCTAAACCATAATTGCAGCCTTACATTGTTAGTTACATTGTTGTCTATAATGTAGCAGTACACACACACACGCACACACCACCACCACACCACACCACACCACCACAACCACAACCACAACCACCACCATACCACACCACAAACAAGCACAATTTGTACATCTTTCCATAGCTCATACTGTACCTTGGCGTGATGCAGGTCTACACCATACATGGAAAGCTTCTTGGCATTTTCTAGAAAGTTCACCTCTGCCTCCGCTGGACTCATTCCCCTAAGGAAGAACACAGAGGCTGTCATTGGACTATTATCACACCACAACTTCCAGCACTTTGAATAAAGAGAACAATCGGTCTGTTTGGGTTATGGTACGCAAGTTTTTCATTGGAATTAATGGTTGATATATGGTTGTGGCACAAAGACTTTGAGGTCTTCTCAGGCTCTGATTAATGTTACACTTCTGCATGTTTTGAGTGTGAGAACTCTTTGCGTTTGCATGAGCCAATTGTGTGTAACTAATTTTATTGTCTAGCTACTATCCATATCCATTCATGTATGGAGAATTCAACACAATTGGTAACGACCTAGTACCAAATTGTACATATCAGGGGCGGACTGGCCATAGGGCGGTTTGGGCAAATGCCAGATGGGCTTGTCAATTTTTAGCCCAGTGGGCCTGTGGAAATTATGGGTTTTGCTCAAAATGATAATTATTTAGCTAATTCTAGTCCCAGTCCGTCCCTGGTACATACTGATGCTTGTGTCAATGAAACCAAAGTGTCTACTATGCAATTGTTAGGTAATTACCATTTGAATTGTATTCGAATCTATGCCGACAGCGTAGATCTGTGCCGGAGGCTTTTTATTTACAATGACGAGCTGGCACGTGGCCGGTCAGGCCCTGACCTGTAGTTGCGGTGAAGCTCCATCACCCTCTCCTCTAGCTCCCTCGTCTGGTTGGGGGCGAAACGGAAGTCACTGATGTAGTCGGGCCCGTGTTCCTCTGGCTCATAGTCGCCCAGCTCCGCCTGCACCGTGTAAGAACCTAGCAGGGCGTAGGTCCCGAAGGAGCAGGGCAGACGCCAGGACAGCATGTCGTCTCTCAGCTGCAGACACAGGTAGTACCTGCATGCGTCGATGAGTTGTGTTCATTAGGCACCAAATGAAGGACAATGGATTCAAACAGGGAGAGGACTACCTGGTCCAATAAGAAATGCTTGTTTTCTGTTTTCCGTTGCAAAAACATAATTGTTTTATTCTGTTGCATGCCCTAATGAACATGATCATGGATACACAAGAGGCAAACAGCATAGAGGGAATGCAGGATTTATAAGGCAACTTCCCACAGCTCGTTAGTCCCTCCAGGATTTCGCAGTTTTTTTGTGATATCTCACATGAAACAATACTACAGTTTACTACAGAATAGTATAGTACTTACTATAGAATTATGTAGTAAACTGTAGTGTACTGTACAATACTATACTCCACACGGTAGTATCCCTTGATCATATGTAGTACTTAATATAGAATTTTGTAGTATACTGTAGAATACTATACTACACACTGTAGTATCCCTCGATCGTGTAGTGCTTACTATATAATCTTGTAGTATACTGTAGAATACTATACTCCACACTAGGGATGTAACGATTCACTGATACGCATCGGTCCCCGATTCAAATGTTTAAGATACAAGTGCATCGGTCCACGGACCCCAAACCGATCCAATGTAGCATGCATCGGTCAGAAAATCTATTACAATTTAACAAATCGCTGGTTCACTAAATGTATTTGGTCATATTACATTCTTTCTACCTTTTGAAAATACCTCTCATCTTTTGTGACAACTGATGCTTCCTCTCCTTCAGTGTCAAACTGCATGTAACTGTGTTGACAGATATTGATAGTCATTTTGCATGGCAAACAGCCATAGGCAATATCAGTAGCCTAGTCAAACTGCACACTGTGCCCAGTTTCGCGTGCTGACCAATGCGAGGTAGGCGGCCTTCAGAATTTAAAATGCTAAAATGGCTTGATTTTAGGCTTTATTAGTTGTATGTAATTTGCTAGGTCATTGTTATCTATGCGCTGTTGAAAATTGTGTTTTAATGGAATAAAAGTAAGCTACTGGAGACACTTCTCATCTGGCTATACCTGCTGAACAGGGTTTACAATAGATTGTATTTTGATTGTTCAGGTTCATCATCAGCAATAGTTTTGGTAGTTTTGCGTTAAACAATCAGTGTATATGGTCATTTTTTTATATACAGTGAGGGAAAAAAGTATTTGATCCCCTGCTGATTTTGTACGTTTGCCCACTGACAAAGACATGATCAGTCTATAATTTTAATGGTAGGTTTATTTGAACAGTGAGAGACAGAATAAAAACAAAAAAATCCAGAAAAATGCATGTCAAAAATGTTATAAATTGATTTGCATTTTAATGAGGGAAATAAGTATTTCACCCCTCTGCAAAACATGACTTAGTACTTGGTGGCAAAACCCTTGTTGGCAATCACAGAGGTCAGACATTTATTGTAGTTGGCCACCAGGTTTGCACACATCTCAGGAGGGATTTTGTCCCACTCCTCTTTGCAGATCTTCTCCAAGTCATTAAGGTTTTGAGGCTGACGTTTGGCAACTCGACCCTTCAGCTCCCTCCACAGATTTTCTATGGGATTAAGGTCTGGAGACTGGCTAGGCCACTCCATGACCTTAATGTGCTTCTTCTTGAGCCACTCCTTTGTTGCCTTGGCCGTGTGTTTTGGGTCATTATCATGCTGGAATACCCATCCACGACCCATTTTCAATGCCCTGGCTGAGGGAAGGAGGTTCTCACCCAAGATTTGACGGTACATGGCCCCGTCCATCGTCCCTTTGATGCGGTGAAGTTATCCTGTCCCCTTAAAAGAAAAACACCCCCAAAGCATAATGTTTCCACCTCCATGTTTGCCGGTGGGGATGGTGTTTTTGGGGTCATAGGCAGCATTCCTCCTCCTCCAAACGCGGTGAGTTGAGTTGATGGCAAAGAGCTCAATTTTGGTCTCATCTGACCACAACACTTTCACCCAGTTCTCCTCTGAATCATTCAGATGTTCATTGGCAAACTTCAGACGGCCCTGTATATTTGCTTTCTTGAGCAGGGGGACCTTGCGGGCGCTGCAGGATTTCAGTCCTTCACGGCGTAGTGTGTTACCAGTTGTTTTCTTGGTGACTATGGTCCCAGCTGCCTTGAGGTCATTGACAAGATCCTCCCGTGTAGTTCTGGGCTGATTCCTCACCGTTCTCATGATCATTGCAACTCCACGAGGTGAGATCTTGCATGGAGCCCCAGGCCGAGGGAGATTGACAGTTATTTTGTGTTTCTTCCATTTGCGAATAATCGCACCAACTGTTGTCACCTTCTCACCAAGCTGCTTGGCGATGGTCTTGTAGCCCATTCCAGCCTTGTGTAGGTCTACAATCTTGTCCCTGACATCCTTGGAGAGCTCTTTGGTCTTGTGGAGAGTTTGGAATCTGATTGATTGATTGCTTCTGTGGACAGGTGTCTTTTATACAGGTAACAAGCTGAGATTAGGAGCACTCCCTTTAAGAGTGTGCTCCTAATCTCAGCTCGTTACCTGTATAAAAGACACCTGGGAGCCAGAAATCTTTCTGATTAAGAGGGGGTCAAATACTTATTTCCCTCATTAAAATGCAAATCAATTTATAACATTTTTGACATGTGTTTTTCTGGATTTTTTTGTTGTTATTCTGTCTCTTACTGTTCAAATAAACCTACCATTAAAATTATAGACTGATCATTTCTTTGTTAGTGGGCAAACGTACAAAATCAGCAGGGGATCAAAAACTTTTTTCCCCTCACTGTACAGGGTAAAGTTAATCATTTCACAACGAGGACAGCAATCAGTTTTGCAAGGCGCACTGCATGGCCGAAGCAAGAGGAGAAGAGAAGATCACTCCGTAAAAACGTCCAAACTGTCAAAATCAGATGGGGGTAAAATCCAAAGTTGTGCTATATATTCATTGGCTATGTCATAGCTAATTTGTAAATGATAAATATTGATACATTACTAGCTCAAACACTTCATCTGCAAAAATGACAAGTTAATTAGTGGGGGATGGTGATTTCAGAACCAAAGTGGGGGGAAACATAGGTTATACAGTGGGGGGGGAAAGTATTTAGTCAGCCACCAATTGTGCAAGTTCTCCCACTTAAAAAGATGAGAGAGGCCTGTAATTTTCATCATAGGTACACGTCAACTATGACAGACAAATTGAGGAAAAGAAATCCAGAAAATCACATTGTAGGATTTTTAATGAATTTATTTGCAAATTATGGTGGAAAATAAGTATTTGGTCACCTACAAACAAGCAAGATTTCTGGCTCTCACAGACCTGTAACTTCTTCTTTAAGAGGCTCCTCTGTCCTCCACTCGTTACCTGTATTAATGGCACCTGTTTGAACTTGTTATCAGTATAAAAGACACCTGTCCACAACCTCAAACAGTCACACTCCAAACTCCACTATGGCCAAGACCAAAGAGCTGTCAAAGGACACCAGAAACAGAATTGTAGACCTGCACCAGGCTGGGAAGACTGAATCTGCAATAGGTAAGCAGCTTGGTTTGAAGAAATCAACTGTGGGAGCAATTATTAGGAAATGGAAGACATACAAGACCACTGATAATCTCCCTCGATCTGGGGCTCCACGCAAGATCTCACCCCGTGGGGTCAAATGATCACAAGAACGGTGAGCAAAAATCCCAGAACCACACGGGGGGACCTAGTGAATGACCTGCAGAGATGGGACCAAAGTAACAAAGCCTACCATCAGTAACACACTATGCCGCCAGGGACTCAAATCCTGCAGTGCCAGACGTGTCCCCCTGCTTAAGCCAGTACATGTCCAGGCCCGTCTGAAGTTTGCTAGAGTGCATTTGGATGATCCAGAAGAGGATTTGGAGAATGTCATATGGTCAGATGAAACCAAAATATAACTTTTTGGTAAAAACTCAACTCGTCGTGTTTGGAGGACAAAGAATGCTGAGTTGCATCCAAAGAACACCATACCTACTGTGAAGCATGGGGGTGGAAACATCATGCTTTGGGGCTGTTTTTCTGCAAAGGGACCAGGACGACTGATCCGTGTAATGGAAAGAATGAATGGGGCCATGTATCGTGAGATTTTGAGTGAAAACCTCCTTCCATCAGCAAGGGCATTGAAGATGAAACGTGGCTGGGTCTTTCAGCATGACAATGATCCCAAACACACCACCCGGGCAACGAAGGAGTGGCTTCGTAAGAAGCATTTCAAGGTCCTGGAGTGGCCTAGCCATTCTCCAGATCTCAACCCCATAGAAAATCTTTGGAGGGAGTTGAAAGTCTGTGTTGCCCAGCGACAGCCCCAAAACATCACTGCTCTAGAGGAGATCTGCATGGAGGAATGGGCCAAAATACCAGCAACAGTGTGTGAAAACCTTGTGAAGACTTACAGAAAATGTTTGACCTGCGTCATTGCCAACAAAGGGTATATAACAAAGTATTGAGAAACTTTTGTTATTGACCAAATACTTATTTTCCACCATAATTTGCAAATAAATTCATAAAAAATCCTACAATGTGATTTTCTGGAGAAAAAAAATCTCATTTTGACGTGTACCTATGATGAAAATTACAGGCCTCTCTCATCTTTTTAAGTGGGAGAACTTGCACAATTGGTGGCTGACTAAATACTTTTTTCCCCACTGTATTGCCCCCCCCCCCCTAATCTCCCAGAGTGCGAAGAACCTTGGCTTGACCCTGGACAACAACACCCTTCTCTGCAAACATCAAAGCGGAGTACATCCGTAGAGTATGGCCATTCCTCACACAGGAAGCGGCACAGGTCCAAATCCCGCTCCTCCAAACACTCCACTGGCTTCCAGTCTAAGCTCGCATCATCTTCAAGACCATGGTGCTTTCTTATGGAGCCATAAGGGGAACTGCCCTTCCTTACCGTCAGGCTATGATCAAACCCTACATCCCAACCCGAGAACTCTGTTCCGCCACCACTGGTCTCTTGGCCCTCCCACCCCTACAGGAGGGCAGCTCCCACTCAGCCCAGCCAAAGCTCTTCACTGTCCTGGCACCCCAATGGTGGAACAAGCTTCCACCTAAAGTCATCTTTGAAGAGTATCTTAAATAACTCTCACGCCCTCTGACAAAACAAAATTACAATAAAAAATCCGTACTATACAAATAAAGTGTGACCTACTATACTACACACTGTAGCATCCCTTGATTGTGTAGTACTTACTATATACTTTTTTTGTATACTGTAGAACAGTGATTCCCAACCAGGGGTACTAGGACACCTGGGGGTACTTCGCCTATCCACAGGGGGTACTTGAGAAGACTCATGAGACCATAGGCGTACTGGTAAAATGCACATAAGGGAGTACTTCAGGGGGACCCCGGGCAGAGCAAAATTCAGTTGGTGGTACAATAACTGAAAAAGGTTAGGAATCAGGCTGTAGAATACTATACTACACACTGTAGTATCCCTCGATCATATGTAGTATAAACTATATAATTTTGCAGTATACTGTAGAATACTTTATTAAGTACTACAGTGTTATCCGCAAAAAAACACTGTAGTAAATACTACAGTAATGTCCGCAAAAAACTCTAGTGTCCGCAAAAACACTACTGTTTACTATAGTAATACTACATTATTTCATTTGCATATACCCCACCCATTCCCATCTGACATATCCCAATTTGTGCCACCCATGAGTGAGAAACCTACATGCAAAGTATAGACCATATACTGTGTTCCCTACATGTTATAGAAAAGAGCAGAAGCTCTGAACTATCAGTTTAGACACCAGTCCTACCTACAGTGGCTTGAGAAAGTATTCACCCCCCTTGGCATTTTTCCTATTTTGTTGCCTTACAACCTGGAATTAAAATTGATTTTTGGGGATTTGTATCATTTGATTTATACAACATGCCTACCACTTTGAAGATGCAAAATATTTTTTATTGTGAAACAAACAAGAAATAATACAAAAAAACAGAAAACTTGAGCGTGCATAACTATTCACCCCCCCAAAGTCAATACTTTGTAGAGCCACCTTTTGCAGCAATTACAGCTGCAAGTCTCTTGGGGTATGTATCTATAAGCTTGGCACATCTAGCCACTGGGATTTTTGACCATTCTTCAAGGCAAAACTGCTCCAGCTCCTTCAAGTTGGATGGGTTCCGCTGGTGTAGAGCAATCTTTAAGTCATACCACAGATTCTCAATTGGATTGAGGTCTGGGCTTTGACTAGGCCATTCCAATACATTTAAATGTTTCCCCTTAAACCACTCGAGTGTTGCTTTAGCAGTATGCTTAGGGCCATTGTCCTGCTGGAAGGTGAACCTCCGTCCCAGTCTCAAATCTCTGGAAGACTGAAACAGGTTTCCCTCAAAAATGTCCCTGTATTTAGCGCCATCCATAATTCCTTCAATTCTGACCGGTTTCCCAGTCCCTGCCGATGAAAAACATCCCCACAGCATGATGCTACCACCATGCTTCACTGTGGAGATGGTGTTCTCGGGGTGATGAGAGGTGTTGGGCTTGCGCCAGACATAGCATTTTCCTTGATGGCCAAAAAGCTCAATTTTAGTCTCATCTGACCAGAGTACCTTCTTCCATATGTTTGGGGAGTCTCCCACATGCCTTTTGGCGAAAACGAAACGTGTTTGCTTATTTTTTTATTTAAGCAATGGCTTTTTTATGGCCACTCTTCCGTAAAGCCCAGCTCTGTGGAGTGTACGGCTTAAAGTGGTCCTATGGACAGATACTTCAATCTCCGCTGTGGAGCTTTGCAGCTCCTTCAGGGTTATCTTTGGTCTCTTTGTTGCCTCTCTGATTAATGCCCTCCTTGCCTGGTCTGTGAGTTTTGGTGGGCGGCCCTCTCTTGGCAGGTTTGTTGTGGTGCCATATTCGTTCCATTTTTTAATAATGGATTTAATGGTGCTCCGTGGGATGTTCAACGTTTCTGTAATTTTTTTATAACCCAACCCTGATCTGTACTTCTCCGCAACTTTGTCCCTGACCTGTTTGGAGAGCTCCTTGGTCTTCATGGTGCCGCTTGCATGATGGTGCCCCTTGCTTAGAGGTGTTACAGACTCTGGGGCCTTTCAGAACAGGTGTATATATACTGAGATCATGTGACAGATGACATGACACTTAGATTGCACACAGGTGGACTTTATTTAACTAATTATGTGACTTCTGAAGGTAAATGGTTACGGCAGATCTTATTTAGGGGCTTCATAGCAAAGGGGGTGAATACATATGCACGCACCACTTTTCCGTTATTAATTTTTTTGAATTTTTTGAAACAAGTTATTTTTTTAATTTCACTTCACCAATTTGGACTATTTTGTGTATGTCCATTACATGAAATCCAAATTACAATCAATTTAAATTACAGGTAGTAATGCAACAAAATAGGAAAAACGCCAAGGGGAATGAATACTTTTGCAAGGAACTGTACCTACCTACCTACCTACAGGTTATGGAAAATATGCTCTTTTAGTATTTGTCCAATAGGTTTCCTCAAACAGAAAGCCCCTAGTGATGGGAAAATAAGGCTTTCTGAAGCCTTTGGGGCTCTCACCAATTAGTGCTGAAAAACTGTTAATTACTCTGAGCTTTTAACACAATGCACATTAGTGACACCTGCTGGTCAGCAATAAACAGAAGCATTTGATGTTCAGATATACGTTTTGACCAAGGCATTTATCAAAACTCTGTGGTACAGCGGTTAGTCATGGGCTTTGAACACCTAAACAGTTAGAATATGAGGTTAGCATCTTACATCCTTCTTCCTTTTATTTGCCTCCAAGTTTGTTTTAAAATCTGTATATCATTGGCATTATTTACAGTGAAGGAAAAAAGTATTTGATCCGCTGCTGATTTTGTACGTTTGCCCACTGACAAAGAAATTATCAGTCTATAATTTTAATGGTAGGTTTATTTGAACAGTGAGAGACAGAATAACAACAAAATAATACAGAAAAACGCATGTCAAAAATGTTATAAATTGATTTGCATTTTAATGAGGGAAATACGTTTTTGACCCCCTCTCAATCAGAAAGATTTCTGGCTCCCAGGGTGAAAGTGTTGTGGTCAGATGAGACCAAAATGGAGCTCTTTGGCATCAACTCAACTCGCCGTGTTTGGAGGAGGAGGAATGATGCCTATGACCCCAAGAACACCATCCCCTCCGTCAAACATGAAGGTGGAAACATTATGCTTTGGGGGTGTTTTTCTGCTAAGGGGACAGGACAACTTCACCGCATCAAAGGGACGATGGACGGGGCCATGTACCGTCAAATCTTGGGTGAGAACCTCCTTCCCTCAGCCAGGGCATTGAAAATGAGTCGTGGATGGGTATTCCAGCATGACAATGACCCAAAACACACGGCCAAGGCAACAAAGGAGTGACTCAAGAAGAAGCACATTAAGGTCCTGGAGTGGCCTAGCCAGTCTCCAGACCTTAATCCCATAGAAAATCTGTGGAGGGAGCTGAAGGTTCGAGTTGCCAAACGTCAGCCTCGAAACCTTAATGACTTGGAGAAGATCTGCAAAGAGGAGTGGGACAAAATCCCTCCTGAGATGTGTGCAAACCTGACGGCCAACTACAAGAAACGTCTGACCTCTGTGATTGCCAACAAGGGTTTTGCCACCAAGTACTAAGTAATGTTTTGCAGAGGGGTCAAATACTTATTTCCCTCATTAAAATGCAAACAAAGTGATTTGTTAAAATTGCGAGCTCTCTTTTTGTAGTGCAGTGATCACACAGTTTTATGAAGTAATAATTGCAGTGATTTTACTGTTTAATGCCGTAATAGTGAGGTGATTGGTCAAATTTGCAAGCCCTAGCATAAATCGCAAAATCCTGGAGGGACTGGTTAATATCAATAAAGGCAGTTAGACATCAAATCTGACTTCCATAGTATATTTAGTGGATGTTGTTGCTGTTGATAATCCAAACCCACCTGGTGATGTCTTCAGTGAGTTGAGATGGGTCAGGGGGATAAAACTTAACAGCAAAGCCGAAATGCCATGAGCCAACTGTGGATAAACGACACACAGTCACACAGTTAGCACTGTGTGTGTGTTTCTTTGTGTGTGTGTGTCTGTGTCTGTGTGTGTGAGTGTGAGTGTGAGTGTGAGTGTGTGAGTGTGTGTGTGTGGTGTGTGTGTGTGTGTGTGTGTGTGTGTGTGTGTGTTTGTGTGTGTGTTTGTGCGTGCGTGTGTGCGTGCGTGGTCACACTAACTTCGGATTTGCTTCTTGATCTCCTTTGACGGGTCCAGCCAATTCTGAAAGAAAGAATGGAGAAATCCCCTTGAGAACAACACACAGCAAAAACCAGCCAATGCCCCTCTCTACGAAAACCCTGTCAGGGAGCTAACTACTGCACTGACTCCTCTCTTCCAAAGCCATCTCCTCTATTGGGGGCGAAATGCATCCACAAAGCAATAGGAAATAAATGCCTCAGTAAACCATCAATGCCTTAAAGTAACTTCCCAGTGTTGCAGATTTCTATGAAATATGACCTATAATTAATTACAATATTAATTAATTAATTTCCTTCCTAAAATGCCAATTAAAGATTTTAAAAAAAGCAGTTATTCTCTGTGCCCCTGCTTGGCCTGTTAGGAAACAAAAGAATGTGGGCATATACCGGTCAAAAACAGCTGATTTTCCAGCTCAGCCAACCAGACGTGCATGCACTTGGATATTTCAAATTAGCTACCAAGTCCAAGTCCCACGTGTGGAAGGCTGCCCAGATGCACATGCACATGCCATTTTTACCCATGCCAAAGTCTGAGGCTTGTAAACCAATTTAAATAGCTAGTATGGATGGGTTCAGATTTTGGAGACGCATAATGGGACTACTAGGAATCTTTAACTACAACAACAATAAATGCAGACGGATTATTTCACAAACATGAGTCATTTCTGTCCATTGCTTTGTCACTATTTTGGAAATTGTTGTTGTTAGTTAGCTAGCTAGTCACAATTGCTAGCAGCTAAACTAGCTTACTGCTGTTACCTAAATCAGTCAACAACATCTAACTGGGTCGTTCCACAAAATACATAAGTATTCAGACCCTTTACTGAAGCACCTTTGGCAGCAATTACAGCCTTGAGTCCTTTTTTTTTTTTTTGTCATTTAGCAGACGCTCTTATCCAGAGTGACTTAAATGAGCAATTAGGGTTAAATGCCTTGCTCAAGGGCACATCAACAGATTTTTCACCTAGTTGGCTCGGGGATTAGAACCAGCGACCTTTCGGTTACTGGCACAACGCTCTTAACCACTAAGCTACCTGCCGCCCCGTCTTCTTGGGTATAACGCTACAAGCTTGGCACACCTGTATTGGGGGAGTTTCTCCCAGTCTTCTCAGCAGATCCTCTCAAGGTCTGTCAGGTTGGATGGGGAGCGTCGCTGCACAGCTATTTTCAGGTCTCTCCAGAGATGTTGGATCGGGTTCATGTCCGGGCTCTGGCTGGGCCACTCAATGACATTCAGAGACTTGTCCCGAAGCCACTCCTGCGTTGTCTTGGCTGTGTGATTAGGGTTGTTGTCCTGTTGGAAGGTGAACCTTAGCCCCAGTCTGAGGTCCTGAGCGTTCTGGAGCAGGTTTTCATCAAGGATCTCTCTGTACTTTGCTCCGTTCATCTTTCCCTCGATCCTGACTAGTCTCCCAGTCCCTGCCGCAGAAAAACATCCCCACAGCATGATGCTGCCACCACCATGCTTCACCGTAGGGATGGTGCCAGTTTTCCTCCAGACGTGACGCTTGGCATTCAGTACAAAGAGTTAAATCTTGGTTTCAACAGCCCAGAGAATCTTGTTTCTCATGGTCTGAGAGTCTTTAGTTGCCTTTTGGCAAACTCCAAGTGGGCTATCATATGCCTTTTACTGAGGAGTGGCTTCCGTCTGGCCACTCTACCATAAAGGCCTGATTGATGGAGTGCTGCACAGATGGTTGTCCTTCTGGAAGGTTCTCCCATATCCACAGAGGAACTCTGGTGCTCTGTCAGAGTGACCATCGGGTTCTTAGTCACCTCCCTGACCAAGGCCCTTCTCCACTGATTGCTCAGTTTGGCCAGGCGGACAGTTCTAGGAAGAGTCTTGGTGGTTCCAAACTTCTTCCATTTAAGAATGATGGAAGACACTGTGTTCTTGGGGACCTTCAATGCTGCAGACAATTCCTTTGACCTCATGGCTTGGTTTCTGCTCTGACATGCACTGTCAACTGTGGGACCTTATATAGACAGGTGTGTGCCTTTCCAAATCATGTCCAATCAATTGAATTTAACACAGGTGGACTCCAATCAAGTTGTAGATACATCTCAAGGATGATCAATGGAAACAGGATGCACTTGAGCTCAATTTAGAGTCTCATAGCAAAGGGTCTGAATACTTATGTAAATAAGGTATTTCTGTTTTGTTTTTGTTTTTATAAATGTGCAGACATTTCTAAAAACCTGTTTTCGCTTTGTCATTATGGGGTATTGTGTGTAGATTGATGAGGAAAATGTTTTATTTAATCAATTTTAGAATAAGGCTTTAACGTAACAAAATGTGGAAAAAGCCAAGGGGTCTGAATACTTTCCGTATGCACTGTACATCTATGCTCTAACTCATCGTTTCCCAAACTCGGTCCTGGGGACCCCAAGGGATACACGTTCTAGCAAAGACGTTTGTGAAGTATTTATTTAGTTTCATAGTGCAAACATTGCTAGCAAGTTTCTCACACTCGCTTTAGCCGCGGAGGCGCAGGCCTGCTCCGGCAACTCCAGGGGGGGTGCCTAGCAAGTTCAAGTTCAAGTTTTTTATGTCACATGCACAAGTACAGTGAAATGCCTTTCTTGCAAGCTATAAACCCAACAATGCAGAAAGCAATACAAATGTAATACAAAAAATAACATAAGGTAGAACTAAAACACACAACAAATAAAAAGAAGAAATAAGAAGTAGGTAAGCATACAGGGTCAGTTCCAGTACCATATTTACAATGTGCAGGGATACTGGAGTGATAGAGGTAGATATGTATAGGGGTAAGGTGACTAGGCATCAGGATATATGATAAACAGTGTAGCAGCAGCGTATATGATTGTATGTGAGTGGGTGTGTGTGTGTAGAGTCAGTATCAATCTACGTGCATATTATGTGTGAGTGAGCAAATGATGTGGAGTGTCAGTGTGCGTGAGTGTGAAGGGCCCTGTGAGTGTGAAAAAAATACAAATAAAAGGGTCAACTCAGATAGTCCTTGTAGCCATTTTGTTAGCTATTTAGTTAGCTATTTAGCAGTCTTATGGCTTGTAGATAAAAGCTGTTCAGGAGCCTGTTGGAGTCAGACTTGATGCACCGGTACCCCTTGTCGTGCGAAAGCAGAGAGAACAGTCTATTGCTTGGGTGACTGGAGTCTTCCTTTCGCACCGCCTGATATAGAGGTCCTGGATGGCAGGGAGCTTGGCCCCAGTGATGTACTGGTCTGTCCGCACCACCCTCTGTAGCGCCATGCGACCGAGGGTGGTGCTATTGCCATGCCAGTCAACATGCTCTCAATGGTACAGCTGTATAACTTTTGGAGGGGGAAGAGGTGCTGTCGCGCCTTGTTCACGACTGTGTGGTGTGTGTGGACCATTTTAAGTCTTAGTGATTTAGACACTGAGGAACTTGAAGCTCTCGACCCACTCCACTGCAGCCCCGCCGATGTGGATGAATGCATGCTCGCCCCGTTTCCTGCAGTCCACGATCAGCTCCTTGGTCTTACTGACGTTGAGGGAGAGACTTTGTTCCAGCACCACACTGCCAGGTCACTGACCTCCTCCGTGTAGGCTGTCTCATCGTCACCGGTGATCAGCCCTACCACCGTCGTGTCGTCAACAAACTTGATGATGGTGTTGGAGTCGTGCGTGGCCACACTGTCGTGGGTGAACAGGGAGTACAGGAGGGGACTAAGCACATACCCCTGTGGGGCCCCCGTGTTGAGGACCAGCGTGGCTGAGGTGATGTTGCCTACACTTACCACCTGGGATCGGCCCATCAGAAAGTCCAGGATCCAGTTAGAGAGGGAGGTGTTCAGTCCCAGGGTCCTAAGCTTGGTGACGAGCTTGGAAGTGACAATGGTGTTGAACGCTGAGCTGTAGTCAATGAACAGTATTCTCACATAGGTATTCCTCTTTTCCAGGTGGGTGAGGGCAATGTGGAGTGCAATTGAGATTGCGTCGTCTATGGACCTGTTGGGGCGATATGCAAATTGGAGTGGGTCTAGGTTGTCTGGGATGATGGAGTTGATGTGAGCCATTACCAGCCTCTCAAAGCACTTCATGATTACAGTTGTGAGCGCTACATGTCGGAAGTCATTGTGGCATGAAGAGTTCTTGGGAACAGGAATGATGGTGGTCATCTTAAAAGATGTGGGGATTACAGACTGGGACAAGGAGAGGTTGAAAATTACTGTGAATATGCCTGCCAGCTGTTCTGAGCATGCTCTGAGAACATGCCCTGGAATACTGTCGGGCCCCCCGGACTTGCGGGTGTTGACCTGATTTAAAGATTGGCCTCGGAGAGCGAGATCAACCGGTCCTCTGGGTCGGTGGTGGCCCTTACACCTGGCACGATGTTGTTATTGTCGAAGAGTGCATAAAATGATTTGAGTTCGTCTGGTAGAGAGGCATCGTTGGGCAGATCACGGCTAGGTCTTCATTTGTAATCTGTAAGGGACTGTAGCCCTTGCCACATGCGGCAGGCGGCAGAGCCTCTGTAATATGATTCTACCTTATTCCTACAGTATATTGTCCTTTTGCTCGTTTGATGACTCTGGGGAGGTCATAGCAGGACCTCTTGTACTTGTTCCTGTCCTCAGCCATAGCCTCAGGGTTGTCTGCGACAGCCCTGTGTGCGGTAGCCCTGTCTCTTAGTTTAGCACCAACCTCGGTGTTAATCCAGGCCTTTTGATTGGGGAAAGCAGCGAACCTTCACTGTGGGGATAAACTTCGCTGATGCATTTCCTAATGAAGCCGGTGACGGAGGTGGTTAGCTCGTCAATGTTATCAGCGGAGTCTCTAAACATATTCCAATCAACGCTAGTAAAGCAGTCCTGTAGCATAATCTCTGATTCTGGTGACCATTTCTCAATGGAGAGAGTCACGGGTACTTCCTATTTGATCTTCTGGAAGCAGGAGTACGGAGTCATGATCTGATTTGCCAAATGGCGGACGAGGAAGGGCTTGCTTGTGGGTTGAATAACAGTGGTCTAGGACTTTATCTGCATTTGTGGAGAAGGAGACGTGTTGATGGAAGTTGGGCATCACGTGTCTTAATGACGCAGAATAAAAATCGCCAGTAACCAGAAAAGCAGCCTCCGGATGTAAGTTTTCCTGCTTGTTTATAGCCTCATACAGTTTGTTAAGTGCCAGCTTGTTATTTTTCTTGTCCTGAAGTGGAATTTATACAACAGTCACGATAACAGCTGAAAACTCTCTCAGGAGGTAGAAGGGTTGGCATTTGACCATCAGGTATTCCAAGATGGGTGAACAATGGGTCGACACATATTTCTTCTTGGGAAGCCTGAAGATTGGGTCGGAATTACAGAAAGAGCCCAGGGCAAATGAGTTAAAGTTGAAGCCGGAATTGAGGTAAGTAACTGCCGATCTGATGTTCAAAAGTTATTGTCGGTTGTATGAAATCATAGCGGATACATTTCTTGAAAATAAAATAAAAATAAGTAAGAAAATAAGCACAAAAGAGCAAAGTTTGGTGGGAGCTTCCAAAACGGCAACCATCCAGTACAGCGCCATATTATCTTGGTACGGCGCCATACATACCTTGGCAGGTATGCTGAGGGATGGGGCTGGAGAAATGTTACCACTCTCCAATTCCTTGATCTAGCTATGGATGCGACAACTGACTATATATGAGATCAAAATTATAGTTTTATCCATGTTCTGAAGCTATACAGCGTTTCCTTTTTATTTTTTTTATTTTTTTTTACAATTGAATTGTTTTCAAATGATGGAGTAAAACAAGCTTATACACTATATATACAACAATATGTGAACACCCCTTCAAATTAGTGGATTGGCTATTTCAGCCACACCCGTTGCTGACAGGTGTATAAAATCAAGCACACAGCCATGCAATCTACATAGACAAACATTGGCATTAGAATGTCCTTACTGAAGAGCTCAGTGACTTTCAACGTAGCACCGTCATAGGATGCCACCTTTCCAACAAGTCAGTTCGTCCCGGTCAACTGTAAGTGCTGTTATTGTAAAGTGGAACGACTAGGAGCAAAAATGGCTCAGCCGCGAAGTGGCCACACAAGCTCACAGAACGGGACCACCGAGTGCTGAAGAGAGTAGCGCGTCTGTCCCTCGGTTGCAACACTCACTACCAAGTTCGAAACTGCCTCTGGAAGCAACGTAAGCACAATAACTGTTTGTCAGGAGCTTCATGAAATGGGTTCCCATGGCCGAGCAGCCGCACACAAGCCTGAGATCACCATGCACAATGACAAGCGTTGGCTGGAGTGGTGTAAAGCTCGCCGGCGAGTAATAAATCACGCTTCACCATCTGGCAGTCCGACGGACTAATCTGGGTTTGGCAGATGCCAGGAGAACGCTACCTGCCCGAATGCATAGTGCCAACTGTAAAGTTTGGTGGAGGTGGAATAATGGTCTGGGGCTGTTTTTCATGGTTCAGGCCCCTTAGGTCCAGTGAAGGGAAATCTTAACGCTACAGCCTACAATGACATTCTAGACGATTCTGTGCTGCTAACTTTGTGGCAATAGTTTGGGGAAGGCCCTTTCCTGTTTCAACATGACAATGCCCCCGTGCACAAAGCGAGGTCCATACAGAAATGGTTTGTCGAGATCGGTGTGGAAGAACTTAACTGGCCTGCACAGAGCCCTGACCTCAACCCCATCGAACACCTTTGGGATGAATTGGAGCACCGACCGCGAGCCAGGCCTAATCGCCCAACATCAGTGGCCGACCCACTAATGCTTGTGGCTGAATGGAAGCAAGTCCCCGCAGCAATGTTCCAACATCAAGCGGAAAGCTTTCCCAGAAGAGTGGAGGCTGTTATAGCAGCAAAGGGGGGGATCAACTCCATATTAATGCCCATGATTTTGGAATGAGATGTTCGACGAGCAGGTGTCCACATTGTTTTGGTCCTGTAGTGTATTTTGGGTTCTGATGGGGAAGGACAGTTGAACTAAGCTCATGAAGCATTTAAAAGTTATATCTTCAACAATCAATGGCTCAAGAATCAAAGTCCAAAAATGTATGTACCAATCCCGGATTGTCTCTTTAATATTCTCAGGACACAGGAATATAAATGCCAGTTAAGCCCTGTCTGCTTAGCTTAATGTCACAGGAGTCTTCTGAGAGATACTTTGTCTATACACTGTGGACCCCACGCGCCACCTTTAAAAGGGCAGTCATTTCCAATCACATTTCAAGGGGCAATGGTCTCTGTCCTTCTCTCACCCTGACTGGTCCACTGTGAGGACAGCAACCACCGCATAGTCCTTTCCTGCAGTCAAATGACCTAGTGGCCTCATGGGTGGAATGTTATAAATATTTTTCATAATTTCATAATTAATACACTTTTATTTCTTTTCTAAGCCGAAAATCCGGTGTTTCTATGTCAAACGGTTGTGTTATATTTCAGTCTTCTGTGATGTATATAAAGTGGAATATTGGGATGCAAACTCAAAATTGAATACATTTCAACTCTATATCTGACATGGTACATGTGTCTTCTTTTTTTAAGCCCATAACCATGTGTGTGAGGTGTATACTTTTGTTTCAAAGTAAATGTGTTTAAGACTATCAAGAAACACTCAGTGTGACCTTGATTTAGCCCACTGCAGTAAAAGGTTAATACATTATCAGGTTTTTAAGGACAATGTCACCCGCACATGGGTTGTTCCACGAATAGAGTGCCCTCAGACATTATGGGTGTGAATTGTGATAAAATACTAAATGTAACAGTTGGATCACACACTGTACATCTATGCTCTAACTCAGTGTTTCCCAAACTCTGTCCTGGGGACTCCAAGGCGCGCACATTTAGTTTTTTTGCCCTAGAACTACACAGCTGATTTAAATAATCCAAGTTTGATGATGAGTTTATTATTTAAATCAGCTGTGTAGTGCAAAGGCAAAAACCTAAGTTCCCAGGACAGAGTTTGGGAAACACTGCTCTAACTAAACTAAACCATGTTAAAGGGATAGTTCGAGATTTTGGCAATGAAGGATACCATATTTATGTCTCTGCGTCTAGTATGAAGGAAGTCAGAGGTAGTTTCGCGAGACAATGACTGGAAGTCTTCGGGATCAGCTAGCATGCTTCATTGCCAAAATCTCGAACTATCCCTTTTAAATTTCAAATAGCTGTGTGTTTTCATTTTAAAGTTGTTTGTTTTATCTGAAAATCGCCATTTTGGCATGTCCCACGTCATGTTTGTTCTTCTAGAATTTTTACTTGCCTGACGACTCATCGTGAATTAAATTCTGCTGCTCTATCGATTGCTCCATACATCAGTCTGAAACTGCCATCCTAGAAGTCGTTTGTGTTGATTTCAACCGATCGGAGACCAATCAGAATGGTCAGAATGTGTTCGCATTCTCAAAGAGTCGGGGAGGAAAGAAAATACAGACGTGGAGAAGAAGCATAAGTGGGCATGGCGTTTGGCCGGAGCGATGTGGATGGATAGCCAGGCAAGGTTTTAACCCACTTAACCCCAAGATTTTCCCAGGTTTTCTCCATCATTGTAAAGCCCTAGTTATTTAGTTGCTTTGGGAAAGTAATTTCTGAAGATATGTACTTATTTAATGTCATTAGTAATTAATGTACTTTTGTCCCTCAAGTTTAAGGTCAACAGTGTAACATGAACTGAACTCTCATTTTAACATGGTAAAACTATTATTTTTTAATTATATTTTCAAAAGAAACATTGAACATCTAATAGTCAAATCATAGTGTAAAAGCAGGTGAGCTGGGTTACTCTTTTAGGCCATTTTCCAGTGTTTTGTGTTGGAAAACTGAGCGTGTCGAGCATAACACGTCAACCCTGTTACCCATATGGTAGAAATGTTTTAAATTCTACCCTGTCACTTTTATCTTTATTAATATTCAACCCCCTGAGTCAATGCATGTTAGAATCACCGTTGGCAGCAATTACAGCTGTGAGTCTTTCTGGGTAAGTCTCTAAGAGCTTTGCACACCTGGATTGTACAATATTTGCCCAATATTCTTTTCAACATTCTTCAAGCTTTGTCAAGTTGGTTGTTGATCATTGCTAGACAGTCATTTTCAAGTCTTTCCATAGATTTTCAAGCCGATTTAAGTCCAAACTGTAACTAGGCCACTCAGGAACATTCAATATTGTCTTGGTAAGCAACTCCAGTGTATATTTGGCCTTGTGTTTTAGGTTATTGTCCTGCTGAAAGGTGAATTTGTATCACAGTGTCTGTTGAAAAGCAGACTGAACCAGGTTTTCCTCTAGGATTTTGCCTGGGCTTAGCTTTATTCCGTTTCTTTTCATCATTAAAAAAACTCCCTAGTCCTTGCTGCTGACAAGTAAACCCATAACATGATGCACAGAATGAGTCCATGCAATTTATGTGACTTGTTAAGCACATTTTTACTCCTGAACTTATTTAGGCTTGCCATAACAAAGGGGTTGAATACTTATTGACTCAAGACATTTCAGCTTTTCATTTGTAATTAATTTGTAAAAAATGGTATTTTGTGTAGGCCAATGACAAAACATCTCAATTTAATAAAGTTTCAATTCAGGCTGTAACACAACAAAATGTGGAAAAAGTCAAATACTTTCTGAAGGCACTGTAGGTGCCAGTAGGTGGGAGTGAGGGGGAGGGTTCTAGGTGGGAGTAAGAATGAAGATTCTGACCTTGGTGTTGTCTGTGTCATAGAACGTCAGGCCAAAGTAGTCCCTCTCCAGCAGGTTCAGATGGCCACACACCATGTCCAGCACGGACTGCCCCCTGGCAAATTTCTGTCAAAAACACACATGATTATAAAAACGTACACATGCGCACACCGTACACCCACAACCCCCCACATACACGCACGCACACACACACACACACAGGAATGGTTTGTTGTTGTGGGGATTTGTCATATTCAGAAAGATACCAGTGAGTCAAGTGATATCATCATAACCTTGTACATATGCTGGATATCTCTTCTACACTGTCAGAATGAATCACACTGCCAAAATATTGCATAGTCCATTTTCGATACAGATACAGTAACAGTGCATTTTTAAATATAGGAGCTATTTATGAATTTAAAAAACTGAAATGTGTGAGCTATTACTTTATTGTCCAGTCGTTTAGGAAATGCATCATGGTATTATATACTGTATGTATATTTATATCTATTAGATTAACCGACTACATGAAAAATCTCTTTCATCACACTATGAAAATACCATCAGCATGAAAACCCAGCCCTTCTGTTGGCTGACAGACATTTTCATGGTCCAGTACCTCCTCAGCTCTGAGGGATAGGAAAGGCAATGGCTACAAAACAAAGGAACCGCTAGTATTTCACAGGGCCACACCTAGTTTTCACCCCTTTAGGGCTTAGAGCCGACACACTGCATGTTTCAGTGTTTCAGAGGCAGCCTTGGCAGATGCTGTCTACACAAACACACACACACCACGCTCGTCTCCCGGGAAACCTGGCTCCTACGGCGACAGTGCAACCAAGCAGTTGTTACCATGGAAACAGAAGTAATAGGTTCCTTCTCTTTTTGTCTGTGCTCTGTCTTGTGAATGGTGGGGCACATGGCTTTGTTACGCTCCTTTAAAGAAAACAGGTACAGTAGCCATTACCTTGCAAAATTATTAATGAAACATAAATGAAATATTAATGAAACAATAAACATAACCTGGCCTTTAATCAAAGAAATGCTGTGGTACCAGTCTGGCGGTATACAGCAACCACGAGCGAGTGAGAGTGAGTGAGGGAGTGATTTAACGTAGTGGTTGCTGAGAAATTTTGGAGCGTATTGGATTTTCTTACTAAATGAAATTGCAACACACATTTTAGGTGGTCCCCCCAAGCGTTGCAACCAAGCTGTTGATGAGATTTCGCTCCCGTCCCAATTGCCTCCAATCACATTTCTGCCACACTAGTTCTATGGGCTGATCGCATTAGAAGCCATTTGGCGTAATTCTAGAAATCCATTTTAGAGACTGTATGGTCCATGCAAACACGATGAAGGGAGACAGTATCTGGGTATGGGCTAATAGCTAGTCTCAGAGGGAGAGTGGGAGTGTTGAGTGAAGTAGTGATAAGATTGATCAAGTAAGAAAGGCTATACAGGACAACAGACCGGAGTATAGAATAGAATATTAAAAACAGGCCTTTTCAAATTTAGGCAAAACGTCCTTCTCTTTTATAAACATTAATTCATTCAAGAAATCCGGTGGGAAATTAATATCCAGTTAAGAATATTTTTCTTTTACATTTTATTGTCTTAATAAATTACTATAATAAAAAATGGGTTTATCTTGTATTCTTAGATTGCAAAAGGAGTACTGTGTGATGATGGTAACCAGTTTTGATTGACTACAGCCCAAGGTATTATAGCCTACCTACTGTACCTGCGTTATTCCACTAGTAGAGTGCCTTTTGGGTACTGTAATTTGGTTTTAACAAATTAATACAATTATTTCACCTAATTTTAAGATGTTATTATAAAAAGCACATGTTCAACTTAATAAAAAACATGTTTTCCCATCTCAAGAGGTTAAATGAAAAAAATACTATAGTAAGTGCCAAGTACAGTGAGGGAAAAAAGTATTTGATCCCCTGCTGATTTTGTACGTTTGCCCACTGACAAAGAAATGATCAGTCTATAATTTTAATGGTAGTGTATACCTTGTGGTAGTGTAGGTTTATTTGAACAGTGAGCGACAGAATAACAACAAAAAAATCCAGAAAAACGCATGTCAAAAATGTTATAAATTGATTTGCATTTTAATGAGGGAAATAAGTATTTGACCCCTCTGCAAAACATGACTTAGTACTTGGTGGCAAAACCCTTGTTGGCAATCACAGAGGTCAGACGTTTCTTGTAGTTGGCCACCAGGTTTGCACACATCTCAGGAGGGATTTTGTCCCACTCCTCTTTGCAGATCTTCTCCAAGTCATTAAGGTTTCGAGGCTGACATTTGGCAACTCGAAGCTTCAGCTCCCTCCACAGATTTTCTATGGGATTAAGGTCTGGAGGCTGGCTAGGTCACTACAGGACCTTAATGTGCTTCTTCTTGAGCCACTCCTTTGTTGCCTTGGCCGTGTGTTTTGGGTCATTGTCATGCTGGAATACCCATCCACGACCCATTTTCAATGCAGTGAAGTTGTCCTGTCCCCTTAGCAGAAAAACACCCCCAAAGCATAATGTTTCCACCTCCATGTTTGACGGTGGGGATGGTGTTCTTGGGGTCATAGGCAGCATTCCTCCTCCTCCAAACACGGCGAGTTGAGTTGATGCCAAAGAGCTCCATTTTGATCTCATCTGACCACAACACTTTCACCCAGTTCTCCTCTGAATCATTCAGATGTTCATTGGCAAACTTCAGACGGGCATGTATATGTGCTTTCTTGAGCAGGGGGACCTTGCGGGCGTTGCAGGATTTCAGTCCTTCACGACGTAGTGTGTTACCGATTGTTTTCTTGGTGACTATGGTCCCAGCTGCCTTGAGATCATTGACAAGATCCTCCCGTGTAGTTCTGGGCTGATTCCTCACCATTCTCATGATCATTGCAACTCCACGAGGTGAGATCTTGCATGGAGCCCCAGGCCGAGGGAGATTGACAGTCCTTTTGTGTTTCTTCCATTTGCGAATAATCGCACCAACTGTAGCCCATTCCAGCCTTGTGTAGGTCTACAATCTTGTCCCTGACATCCTTGGAGAGCTCTTTGGTCTTGGCCATGGTGGAGTGTTTGGAATCTGATTGATTGATTGCTTCTGTGGACAGGTGTCTTTTATACAGGTAACTTTAAGAGTGTGCTCCTAATCTCAGCTCGTTACCTGTATAAAAGACACCTGGGAGACAGAAATCTTTCTGATTGAGAGGGGGTCAAATACTTATTTCCCTCATTAAAATGCAAATCAATTTATAACATTTTTGACATGCATTTTTATGGATTTTGTTGTTGTTATTCTGTCTCTCACTGTTCAAATAAACCTACCATTAAAATTATAGACTGATCATTTCTTTGTCAGTGGGCAAACATACAAAATCAGCAGGGGATCAAATACTTTTTTCCCTCACTGTAGGTGCCAATGAAAGTAACAGAGTTGACCGTAACAGGGTTGATTTTTTCATCTTAAATCATAAATCCCATTGTGACAGCGGGAATTGAAGCTTGTTGTGTGCAAATGAATGCAAGCTTTACAAAAAAAATATAATTGTTAAAACATTTCTCGCCTATCTACTGTATCTACAGTATAGGTAACAGGGTTTGCGTGTTATGCTCGACGCGCTCAGTGTTCCACCACAAAACACCAGAAAATGGCCAAAAAGAGTAGAACCAGCTCACCTGCTTTTACACTATGATTTGACTATTATATATTAAAATATTTTAAAAGGAATTGTTTCAACATATTAAAATGAGAGTTTGTTTCACATAACAGGGTTGACCTTAAAATGAGGGAGAGACGTAAATGAATCACTAATCACACTAAATAAATAATAATCTTCAAAAATATGGATAAAGAAAATATGCACATTTTCCCACCAATGGTGTTTCCATCAAACTGACTTGTTGCGGATAAAAATTGTGCGTGATGACGTAGTGCACATAAAAGGCACTTTTCCCTTAAGTTTTCATGTACCGAATAAAAATCAAAAGTTGAATGTGTTTCCATAGCAACTTTATTGATGGTTTTGTAACAAAAATTGGTGCGTTAAATATAGGGCTGGGAATTGCCAGAGGCCTCACAATACGATATTATCACGATACTTTGGTGCCGATTCGGTATGTATTGCGATTCTCACAATTCTCAAGATTCTATATGTATTGCAATTCGATAATGTGATTTTATTGCCATTCGATGTTCCAAACATATTACTCACCATATGTCTGCTGCAGAGGGACAAGAGAGAGCCATGAGAAAACGAGTATTGATCAATTATGGAAATAAAAGGGCTGAAAACAAATTGGCTCCCTATTGAAAAAGAAGATGGGAAACAAGCTATGAAGGAAAAATACTGGAGTTTTGTTGCATGTACAGCCATCTAGCAGAAAAATAATAATATTATTATTGTGATCTGTAACTGTATCGATTTTTTCCCCCATCACTAGTTAAATAGCAAATGTGCCAGCTCTGGTCTTGGCACGTGAACTCTAGCCAACAGCTTGCAGATAGGCTACAGTGCGGGTAGGCTAGCCTATATGATGAGATTATTATGGATAAGAGCAAGATTATTTTTATCTGTCAAACGGCAGCCGAGCATCAATCATCATGTCATCAGAATAAGACCTTCAATATTTATTGGAAAGGAGCATCAACCTCATCACAATGCACTTTCACCACCCTGTGAAGTTCATCATATCTTTATTTAATCTGTAGCCTAATAAACTGCATGCTTTCCCAAGTCGTAGTGGGAGGACAACACAACATACAGTATCATCGCGTGACTCCAAGTTTACTTTGATATGATGGTTATTCTATTAATATTTGCGCATAAAGGCGTTTTCACCACCATTTCTCTAATAATAAAACCACTCCCTTTTTTAAATAAATGCGAGAAACAGATACATTTTAATAAATTATTTATATGACAGCATGGAGTGAAATGGAACTGTTAAATTGTATGCAATGTCTAAATCTGGCTTCTCTACGGCCTCTGCATGATGAATCAACGCTCAGGGTGGGGACAGACAGCCCATCTCAGTTTGTAGTGCAGTTCACAATGCATGTAGACCTATCGTCTCATCATTGTAACTTATTTTCTTGTGACAGGTAGGCCTACGAA